TTTATAGCGACCACCTGCTAGATTTACGATAAATCGAGGTGCATAAATGGGTAGAGGCCTAGAATTACGCTAAAAGCGCCACAATTGCACTTTTGAAAGTACAATTGTGGCTGTGCACCTGCAATTCTGTCGGCTTTTATCTACAAGTACCTAGACACACGACAATTATGCATAAGAGGGTAGGTGTGCTGGGGATCATGGACGGCAGTGTACTGGGCGGCCCAGGGGCGGACCCAGAACCAAAATCTGAGGGGGGCCGGGCCAAAAACAGGGGGGTAAGTCTATATGCGGCTCAAAAATAGGGGAGTACCTCGATCCGACAGCTCAGAAATAGGGGGGTAAGTGTGATGTCTTCCCAAAATCTGGGGGGGGGGGCGGTGCCGCCTAGTTTGTATGTAGGTCCGCCCCAGTCTGGGCCAATGTATGGCTGCTGACAAGCTCTCCCAAGCCGATATATACTAGCCGAGCGCCGCCGCTACGCGGCGGTGATTTTTTAGTTTGTTGGCGCTTCGCTCGCTATGCTCGCTCCACTATTGGAGCAGGCTGCCTACGCTTCGCTTGGACCCGTTCCGATCGCCTCGTCGGCTCGCTGCACTACTCTCGATGTCAGGTTAGTAATACAGAGGCCGGGGCGGGTCCTAGCCGAGCGCCGCCGCTACACGGCGACGATTTTTTGTTAGTTGGCGCTTCGCTCGCAATGCTCACTGCGCTATAAGAGCAGGCTGCCTACGCTTCACTACGGCAGTGGCGATCCCGTTCCGCTCGCCTCGTCGGCTCTCTGCACTACTCTCAATGTTAGGTTAGTACTACAGAGGTTGGGCGGACCCTGCGGTCCCGCAATATCGTATGATGGGGTCACCTTTGGCGACGGAGCCGCCTTCGCTGCGCTCGGCAGCTACTCGTACTTAGTGGAATTCGTACTTAGTGAATAAGCGTGACGATTTGATTCGGACGGACGGACAGCGCGTTGCTCCAATTGATGTTTAGGATTGATGTTTACCGGAAAAGTCGTATTGATAGAGCCCCAATTTTCTATTGCAGGTTGCGCTGTGCTCTATCATTCCGATAATTGTGGTAGTACTGCGACAAGGCGAAAATTGCTATAAAACACGGTAGCATTTACATCACTTTATAAAACACGGTAGAAAATGACTGATCGACGTGCGCCGTGAACGGTTCGGCTTCTCCGAGACGGCAAGCACACAACGCAAACCTCCAGCAGCAGCAGAAGCCCGACTTCCAAACCAGTAGCAGCATGCCCCGCGACCGCATCCCTACCACTACACCAACCGCTTCAAAGTGCGCGCCGTTAAAGACTGGCGTGCTGCACGCGCTAGCGGCACGAGCCGCAGAGCGTTTGCCGAGTCAAGTGTCTTCTCCCGCCCTTCGCTACAGAACTGGGAGCGCAAGTACTCCCGCCTGGCCCAAGAGTCCCAGCGTCAGCCTCAAGCCAGCCCCTACCTCCCTCCAGCTCCCTCCCGTGCCTCCCGCCTCACGCTCAGCGGCAGCGGCCGCAAGCCCGACACGGCCCCGATCGAGGACACATTGTGCGTGTTTATCAAGGATGAGCGGCGGCTGGAGCACACCGTAACGGTTGATTTCATCATCGACATGGCTACAGAGCTCATGCCGGAGGTGATGGGGCCCAAAAGCCCGGACGCCAAGAAGTCCTGGTGCCAGCGCTTCCTGCGCCGGCACCACCTCACCATTCGACGCATCGGCCACTCAGGCCGCAAGACTCGAGAAGAGCTGGAAGCTCTGCGGCTGCCATTTGTCGAGGAAGTGACTGAGGTAGCGACGCAGCATTATATCTTTGACCCTAATACTAGCCCCACGGTTGCACGTGCACTGTTCAATATAGACCAAACTTCTGTGTACTGGGACATGGGTACAAGGACAACAGTGGAATTTGTCGGTGCCCCAACTGTGCGCTCAACCACAAACGAGAGTGAAGGTTACCGATGCACCATGATGCTTTCCGTTTCGGCAGACGGAAGAATTTTTCCGCCACACTTTGTTTACAATGGTGCCCCCGGTGGAGACGTCAAGAAGGAGCTGAATAAGTTTTGCTTAGAAGACGTGGCTACATTTTCGGTGCAAGAGAGCGCCTGGTTTGATGAGAGAGTGACGTTGGAGTGGATTGAGAAGTGCTGGAAGTATATCGTTGTAAAGCCATCAGTCCTCATACTCGATAGCTTATCGGTACACAAGAAAGCGGAAATTGCCGACGCGTTGGCGTGTACGGGCACTTCGGTGCTATACGTACCTGGCGGCTGCACCGGTGTTGCGCAGCCTCTCGACGTAGGCGTTATGGGCCCTGCCTGTCAAGCAGCACATTTGTCATCTCAATAGCTCGCGTTCCGTCCGACGACCGAAGACTGTAACGCCTGCGTTTCGTCGGCATCAGATTTTCGAGCGTGCAATGGAGGGGCTTCGTTGTGTTTCCGCCACGACAGTTCAGAACTCGTTTCTAAAGGCAGACCCTTTCCTGCCGTATGGGCCTCCAAATAATGCTGCCAGCGCGCCTGCCCCCAAGCGCAGCAACCATGTAGACCACACGGACATTGTAGAAGAGGTAACTGTGTAAGCACTGTGTAAGCACCTCACCGTGTTTTAATACGATGTACATTTTCCCTACATTGCGTCCTGTCGTGACCTCGTCCGTGCATAATATGGCCTTAAACTATTTACTAAGGCAATGTGCTAGGTGCTCTATATTTCCGGATGCTCTATCAATACGACTTTTCCGGTAGGATATGAGAAGGTGGATTTATCATAATTTTAGTAGGTCGTGTATCTTCTTTCACACATATTTAGGAGCAGGCTTTGCCATATTTAGCGTCTAAAATGATCGGCAAAATAACTGAAAAGCACAATAACGTTTGAGCTCTCGCTTGCCAATCATCCAGCCGAGAGACAGAGAAGAAAGAGCTCTGGTGCGAATATGGCCAACAAGAAGCGCAAGTCCACGAACTTCGTGCGAAAGATACACCAGCGCTCGCTTCTATCCGGGGCGGTTCTTGTGCATTACTTTATGACCATTCGGCACAGCAAAAGATTGACGGTCTGAAGGAGGAGTTGACACGACTGCAAGGGCAGCTGAGGCAATTGGACCCCGTCCCGGCATTGATTTCAGAAAACACTGAGATCTTCGGCGCTATCCGCCAGCACCAACTGCATCTCGCCAGCGTTCAATCCGCCATCTTACCATCGCTGGTTCGTCAAGTGCGCAAAACTGATATTGTAATGGCCCCACAGGACTAACAATAACACTGCTTTCCCTGCAGGAAGTGCACCCGCTCCACTCGCGGTTTCACCCGAAAAAAGCGTGGGAAGACCGCAGGGCGACGCTTTGGCGCTTCGGGGCAAGAATTCCGAGCTGGATACGAGTACATTGCAGCACGCAGTCAGGTCTCGAACTCGGGCCAGCCCCACTTGTCAGACGAACGGTTCGAGACTGCCAATGGTGATGTTCGTTGCGACATATTCCAGACCATCCACTTCCCGGGCGTGCGATCCCTAAAACAAGTCTACGATGCTCTGCTCTTTAGCCTCGACAACGTCGAGATCAGCATTTCGGAGCGCTTGGGCAATGTCACAATCAGGGACGACTACGATGATGTCGACGGCAGCAGCTTAAACACTCGAATCTTGTCCACGAGTGACAACGGGGTAGCCACAGAGCTCAACTGTATCAAGCTGTCACAGCTCTTCGAAGGGCCTGACGATATCTGTGGCGGACAACTCTGCGGAATAGTTACCATCGACTCGGTGGATGAGGATAAACTTTATCCCTACGCACCAAGTGAGTGACAGGCTCCGATGCGGTGGGGCCTGCCGTAGCGAAAGTGCGTGGAGTTGTTGTGGTTGCTTGCTTGCTTTTGGGTAAAATGCAAAGTGAGATTGATTCCTTTAAGTCTTCGGGCTAGCTACAGGCTCTAGGTCTTCCTCTTGCTTTCTCCTTAGTGTCGTTCTAGAAGCTGAGTTAACCTATACTAAATGCAAGTGTTTTTCTGTTTCGTAATCCTATATATGCATCTTTGTATACTTGTGCAGACAGAGCTCTGGATTCCTGGCGCCAGGCAGTCTTGCCCAAGCCTGGCGCCAGCCTTCAAGCGACGCTGCGCACAAGCTACTTGTGGCGGAGGAGGAGGCGGCGCTGCGACGCCTGCCCTCCTAGCCACCAGGTACGTCTTCCTTGAGCATGTCTGTTGCTGGCGTACCCGCTTGCGTGGGTGCCAGCAGCAGACATGCTGACAGGAGCGTATTAGAAAAGAAGTTTCCGCAGCTTTTGTTTTGACGGAGCGTCGGCCGATGGGTGGTGACGCTGAGCCGAGCGGCCTACGTGAAGCTTCGCCGTCCCGAGTTTGAACTTTCGGAGTCTGAGTGGGGGCTGTTCTGGTCCAATCGATGCGTAGCGTGCTGCACTCAACTCCTTGATTGATTTTTAGTCGCTGTACTTAAGTACGTGTTAAAACTACATGTACTCTATCACTCAAGCATCTTTTTACTGGTGGGCATCAGGTAGGTAGGAGTAAAGTTTTACAAGTACTTATATGGCTAGGTCTCTTCTGTCAAGGACTAAGTACTTCTACGTATTATATTTGTTTCGGGTCCCTCTGCCCCTGACTTTCGCCGTGGATTACACTCGAACTCCAGCCAAAGCGCCATTTACTTCAGCGTCACTTTCAGTTCCCTAAAAACTAGCGAGCGCCACTACAGCATCAAGATCAAGCTTTATCTTCCCGCACTTATCGCCTCCGTGTACATCGGCAGCGTCAACGCCATCGCTGCCCTCAACTTCAACGCGCGCAACAGCTACCAAGACGTTTATCGATGTATACCACGAGATGGTGACCCACGCCCCATTCGCAGCGCACTGATGCTATCCGATAACGATGGCAAGTTGTACATGTGATACAAGCCGAGCCGATTTTTTTCACGAATTCCAATTTCTCGTTCACACGATGACAACTTGCGGCTCTTTATTGACCCTGATGTTACTTAGGAGGCACCTTTAGAACGTCACGCATCGTCTTCAGCGCTAAGTTGCTCCACAGCGCAACATCCATCTGCAACTCCTGTAAAGCAGCCTTGGACACAGGAAATTCTGGATTGTGCAGCTTCAAAAAGGTCACTCGGCGCATAGTTACTACCAAGCCACCGTCTTCGCTCATACTTGACGCGCTTGGATAGCTTTCGTCCTCCTTGGCATTTGAATCGTTTGCTGTAAGCAAGACAGCGACCGAAATCTCTCTTCGAACACGTTCACTGGCGATGTACGGGTGAAGCGCATCTTGATCCACCGAGTCAATGGCAATGACTGCTCTCGGTTCCTGACTAGACCCCTTGTTTTTGCCATCACACAGGCTGGCGAAGCCGACGACATTATTCTCGATACAAATACCTTTGGTATTCCTTGACAATATCCGAGCGTTGTAGGCGCAGTTTTCGATCTCGTCGTAATCTTCGCGCAGTGTGATGTGGCCGAGTTGCTCTGAAATGATGATCTCCATGTTGTCGACATAGAACTTGAGCGCGTTGAACACGTGCTCAATTGAGGAAAATGAGCCACCTCCACGCGAACACAGCACATATCCCCCTCTACCGTCTCAAATCGCTCGTCCGAGTACTGCGGCACCATCGTGTCCTCTAACGGACACGCAGACGTAATGTACTCGTAGGCATTCAGCAACTTCTGAGGTCGTATCTCCAAAAGTGCGGCCCGACGCTCAGCCGACTCCTTGCCGAGGCAGATGCTCGTGCTCAAGGGATTCCAGTTCTGCTCGCTCTATCATAAAAAAAAGTGTAGGGTTTAGGCCCTCCTCCCGTCGAACATCACAAAGGGATCATCGCACACCATTCGCTGCGTCAATAGCGACTGAGCTTTGGCTACTTGAAATTGCTGGCTTCTTGCGATTGCAGCGAGCGCAGTGTGTTGCAGCATGAGCTGTGCCAGCTCCGCTTCTTCAGCAGATATTGTCGGGGTATTGAGCGCTGCCACCTTGGCCGTCAGTCGCATCACCTTCAGCCGCAGGCGACTGATCTCCTCCTGCAGGGACGAGTGACATGTTACAACCATGCAATGGGTGCTTCGGTAAGTGACCGTCGGTTTTTAGTCCTTACCCTGTGACCCTTACGACAGTGAGATTGTCCAGCGCGAGGACGGCTACGGTCGGGAAGAGCTGCTGCGCAATTGTCCATACCCCGCAGGGATCATTGGCAGCGTGAGGCCAAAGACAGCCTCCTCCAGGCCCGACGTAGGCAATCCCAATGCCAGCCAACTGTAGGAAACGCGTGCGCATCCGAACCGCTGCTGGACAACTCCAGAATACATGGTAGAGATCCACTCGGTCCTGCCGAACGCACACCGCATGAGGACATCCAACTTGTTGACGACTGCGATCGTATGGCGATAGCGCCTGGTGGTTTTGAGCCGAAACAGGAGCTGCTCCCCCCACGGGTTAAGACCGACAATGCGCCGGATCCGTGACCATTCAAGGTGAGAGAGACCTGTCGCAGCCGAAGGACTTTGCCGCTCCCAGTGTTGTTGGCGCCGCGCTCGACTGGCGAAGCCTCGCCTCCGCGATGCAGCAGCAATAATAGTTCGAAAATGTCGACGCGGTTTGATCCATCGCCGATTACCCACCCATAAGCAGACCAGACGACTGACACGCGGGTGCGGATGTACATACTGAACTCGAATTTCGGGCCCGACTGTCGCGGACACGAACTTAGACAGTCGAGGATGACTGCTGATAACGTGGTCCCGTGAGAGAGCCCTCGATCCTGACGTCAGCTGTACAGATGGTGGCGAACTGGAAGTCATGCTCCCGAGCACCGGGTGGTCCGCTGGTGCTGCTTCAATCCGTAGCTCCGAGCCGAAGCCACCTCGATAAAATAGGCGGGGGTAATTCGTGACCAATAGTAGAACGAGGGCCTCCACCCTCTTGCGAATTGCCGATGTACGTCTTCTGCGGGGGAATAGCAGGGTGAATGTGATAAGTCCAGCTCCATGACATCTCCAGTGAATGATATCACGGAGCCGGTCACCGTACGTAAGCAAGCTTCGAAAGCATGTCCGGTTGGCGATAACTCCTGTTCGGCCATCGATCAGCTGAAGATCCACCACTGAAGCGTAGGGAAGTCACTCCAGACACTGTTGGGCATGGACGGCAGCTTCAGCCAAGAGGAAAGACGGCAGGTAGTCGACCGTAAAGCTGCCCCGTCGGCGACTAGCCTTGCGCCGTTCCATTGAAGATCGACACATCCGAAATGTCGGGTCAACTGGTACAAGGCTGAAACCATCGGTGCCCGAGCGGGAAGGTCAGCAGCGCCACCTGCCGTGGAAACGATGGCCTTCCCAGTTGACCACATAGATGAACGACGGCGGATGCCGCCTACCAGTGGGACTCTTGCATTTGGGGTCACGAAGGTGGCCGGAGCACGGGCACCAGGTATCAGCTCCTTACACACTAAGATGTCGCCGACGATATGATCGACATTAGATCCGAGGACCGTCCACTTTGAGACTGTGACTGCAGCCATCGCCATCAGTTCCACACGCAGATCGGGCACAGCCAGACCCCCTTGGGTCCGGGGCAAGGCTGCGAGATCCGCATCCAACCAAGCCTTCGCCCCTTGTACTTCTGAGGTAAAAACGCCGTGCCACACGTCATTCTTGATCTTTGTCGTCAGCCGATTAACCGTGCCAGTTGTAGGCCAGGCATGCTGGCCGATGTATAGCAGCTTGGGAATAATGACCGCTGAAGCGATCAAGCTGCGTTGGTCGACGGTTGTTGTTTTCTGACTGGCCATATACAATCTGGTGGTTAATTGTCGCTCTGCCATGCTCCATGTCCTCTCGGGGTCCCTCGTGCTTTCAACAAAGATACCGAGATAGCGTCCTTGGTGCGCAGGCTCCTGGAACCGCAGGGGAGGTGGCAGGCAGGCGTCCCCTGCGGGACCGTCCGGCCGTAGTGCAATCACCATCGTTTTCTTGTGGTTAAGGAGAAGCCCAGATGCTGCCCCAAATTCTGTGGTGACCCTCAAGAGCGCCGCCACTTGAGATACAGATGAAAGGTAGACAGAACATAGCCGGCCACTTTGATCTCCACCTCGCCACCTTCCGACGTGAGCTTGACCCCTTGTAACTCGGGACGCCTATCGAGCTCCTGGTACAAGGCCTCGAGCGCCAAAATGAACAGTAACGGTGCAAGGGGGCACCCTTGCCTGATGCCGCTCGTCACCTCGACTCTGTGAGACTTAAAACCATTAGCCAAAAACGTAGCAGTCGTACCAGCATGCAGAGCCCCAACCGCCTGGATGAACTGCTCCGGGTACCCGTGGCGCTGGAGTGCCTTCAAGAGGAAGTCTCTGGATAACGAGTCGTAGGCCTTCATGAAATCTAGCAGCATGACCAGCGCTCCGTCTTGAGCAGAATCTACAGACACAGTCTGCTGAGAGGCTTCAAAGATGTGTAAGGTCTCGTGGATCGTCCGCCCCGGGACGAAGCCATTCTGGTGAGGATGCACTCGGTCGTCCAACGTCTCTCGCACTCTTGTCGCTAGGATTCTGGAAAATATCTTGTAGTCCGTATTCAGGAGCGCGATCGGCCGGTAGTTTAAAGGATTATGCAGATCCCCTGACTTCTTGAGGCAGAATATATCCGCCACCAGAAAGGACTCAGGGAACACCTGCCGCGTACCACTTGTTGAGCATCACTGACAGGATCGGTACCAGTTGATCAGCGTAGGAACGGTACCAGCTATTGCAGAGACGATCAGGGCCAGACGCCTTCCCCTCTTTGCAGGCCGCGATTGCCGCCTCGATCTCCGCTGTCGATATCTCCTTCACTACAGCAACTTGTTCATTCGTCGGTTCCGCGACGTCCTCAATCCATCCGGCGACTGCATCTTGCGATGCCGCGTTCGTCACGTGTTGCTGCAGTATGGGGGTCCAGGCATCAGCAAGGATGTCCGCCTTATCGTGCACCCCTCGTACCGGCGAACCGGGGGTTGGGTCGAGGCAGTGTATGATATTGTCCGTGAACTTGCTGGAGATGCGTCTGAAGAAGTCCCGAGTAGTTTTCCCTTCCCAATGAATTGCTGCAGCAAAGTGGCGGCGCTGATGTAAGGATGCCCTCGCTCGCTGGCAGTCAGCAATGGCACTTCGGAGCCGGGCCGCCGGGGTCGAGCCGTGGATATCCTCGAGCGTCAGCGCGTCTAGTGCATCTGTAACGGTCTCCATCGTTACTGGTTGGCCATCATCACACTCACGGATGCGGGCTTGCTGGTTACGAAGTCGGCGGAGCTTTTGGCGGTAAGTGTTGCGCCTGGTACGCCTCCGTTGGCGGGTTATCTTAAGAGTGTCCGTTACGATTCGGAGCTTGAGTTCGTCCCACCACTTGGCCATCTCCCCAGCCTCGACTCCGTCAGCCGACACGCGCTCCAGGAACTGTTGGAGCAGTCCCTGCGTATGTTGTTTGACTAAGTCTTCAGCAAAACGAGGAGGGGGGGGTGTACGGTTGCCGCCTTGCGTACCCGGACTGGGTCGTCCGGCTGCTGTAAATGCAACTTGGCAGCGTGGTGATCGGCTGAGACCGCAGGGGCGACGACTTCCCAGCCGACGACCCATGCACGTAGCAGTCTGTTGACGTACCAGCGGTCAAGACGGGATGAAGCGTCCCCATGACCAGCCACCGGATAGTGATAGGTGTGCGTCTCGGTATGGTGGCGGCGAAGTTGATCCGGCCGCCATTGCTTGGGTCTGACAGCTGCTACCGGATCGATGACGCCCCATGTCACGAGCAGATTTCTGAGAGCAATAGAATCATGCGCCCCCGCGCGCGTAGTGTAGCTTCGGTCAGCCTCCTCGTCCAGCGTACAGTTGAAATCGCCACCCACTGCAACTAGCGCGTCACTCGGAAGTTCTATGGTTGCTAAACGACGGAAGAATCGCTTGCGTTGGGGGATCTGGTGAGGCGCGTACACGTTGATGACGACCAGCGGGCGACCATTTAGGTGTCCTCTGACCGCCATGAAATGCTGGCTCCACTGATCCTCTAGGCATGGTGTCACGTCCTTGAACTCCCCGTAAGGGTCTACCAAGATCGCGACACCAGCTTTTTTTCCTAGTGCTGGCGACCAGAAGGACCTGGTGGGGCACTGAGGACCGGTGCGGAAACCCCAACCAGAGGCAAATAAGTCCGTGAACTTCTCTACTTCTGGCCCTTCCACGTGCGTTTCCTGGAGGAGAATAACTCCATTCCTGCCATGATCACTTTGCGTTCTGAGACTGCGGAACCAGGCGTCCCGGTCGGAGGCCCGAGCTCCAAAACCATTCACAATTTGCGTAACGCAGCCAAACGTTTGGTCTGTAGGATGCAGTCCTGTGGATCGAACGCTCAGCGCGTCCATGACCACCCTCTCTTCTTCTCGGAGTTGCATGAGCCGCTTTCGGCGGTCCGCTCTGAACCGGTTCCGCGTTTGCTTGGCCTTCGCGACGCCTGTGACGATAGGAAAGAAGTCGCCCAGACGCCGTTGTCTTACTTGACGCTGTCGAGACTGTGCTGTCGCGAAATAGCCCGCGGCCCAGCGCTGGCCCCCTCTAGCGTATCCATGCCTCGCCCCTCTCGAAGCGGGGCCCTCTGATACCGCATGGAAATTGCATCAGAGGTGTTGTGGCACATTGTGCCTTTATTTGCGGCTTGGAAGAGCAGCACGGAACTTCGATGTGTCCGTCAGCTCATCCCAATTCAGGCCTGTGTGGAGCTTGATCACTGCTCCCCAGTTTCCTTATCCAATGCCCATACAACATTGCTATCCACTGCGTACCAGTGCGCTAAGGAACCGAGAGGCGCTCTCCCCATTGGCGTAGCTCCCCACTGCCGCACAACGTGTGGGAACACGTGTAGGGTGGTCCATATCGAGTCCGGCATCGACCGCGGTTGTCCCCGAAGGTATTTATCCGCCAGCCATTTACTGAGGGATGCCCACCCACTATCAGCCGCGGCCATCTTAAGATTGTTCCCGAGGTCAGGCCCATTTGCATTTTCTAGCCACTGTTGGCTCAGCTTGCGGAGGTCAGCCGGGCGATCTTCATCTTGGCTCAGCCTTCCCAGAGCTTCCATCTGCGTTCGGTAAGCTTCGAGCCGGCCCTGCGGAACCGACTTGGCCGCCAACTCCGGGAAAGGTACAAACGCGAACAGGTCTCGAAGCGCCTCGACATTGTCACCGTGGTGCAGCATGAAGTGCTCCATCGACGGGACCTCCTGACCTGGCGCAGGAAGTGAAAATCTCTCATACACCTCGGAGTACCACCTACTAATAGCCGTCGTGTTGTCATGGTGGGCAGTCTGGAGCTTTATCCGCAGCGCTGGGGTCAGTTCGTCAGGACTTTGTGCGTTTAGCAAGGCCTGATAGACGCCTGCGTGGATCTGACCTCTCGGTTGAGAACGCTGCCGTGGAGGCATCTCAGCACCGACGGCCATCCCGGGAATCCTCTTGCCGATTGCGTAGTCGTCCATGCCCGCAGCGGCGAAAATCCTGCGTTCCGCTTCATGCATCAAGACTTCCATCTCGTCCACCTGATACTCGCAGTCATCCAAAATCGGCCAACACATGCGGAGATGGACGACATCCAAGCGCTGCCGCATAGTGAGGCTGCGTTGAAGGTGAGCATTGGTATCTTCGGTATCGTCGAGCAAATCTAGCGGGATCCCTCCGACTTGCACTTCAAACCCGACCTGCGTCCGGCTTTTCTCCCCAATGTTCCTCACCACCACGTCAGCAGGCCTGGTGAGGACGCCGTCACGCCACTCAAATGGATGCGCGACCTCGGCCGCAAAGCTGGGATCGCCTTCCGCTTGCCATTTCAGGAAGAGCTCTCCATGATGAACTCCATAGAAATGACTTTCGTGCGTCCGGAGCAGCAAGATCATGGGGAGGACATGAAGCCTCCGACACATGCGCAGATATGCCGTAGCGTCGTGATCTTCCAGCGCCGTGTAGCTCCCTGTCTCGTGGATCAGAGGTTCAGAGCTGCCCGGTGTCTCCAATTCATATTCCTGGTAAGTGTAGATTTGTACATGTCCGTCACCGTGGACATCGACGTCCATGACCATCAATGGCTGTCGGAGGTACTGAGCATAGGTCCTCAGCACATGAGGGTTGACCCAGTTCGTGCTGGGAACTCGGGTATCGACCGACCGGAGACGTTCATGAAGAAGATAGGTGCACACAATCGCGATCGCCGCTTCCTTAGTCTTGGGGTGCTCGCAGCCCGGGTTCAGGCGGTCGAGTTCCGTAAAAGGGTCCAGGATCCCCAACTTGCAGTCAGCCTGCAAGTTTTCCACCATCAGCGCATAGATCGCCCGCTTGTGAAAGTTGGCGTCAGCAATTACTTCCGGGGTAAGTGGTAAACTGCCATGCTCTTGGTTCGATACCGTCGCGTATAGAGCAAGAATCGCACACTGCCCGTTAGCAGGAACGTTGACCTCCCTGCCTTGAAACCAGGACAGCCAGTAATTGACCTGTGTTGGGTTTGTGCGGGGGGGGGAACGGTTTTCTCGTAGACAACACTGGTGTCCGACGCCTGGCTCGCATCGGACGCTTGACTTTCCTTTCCCCCAGGCACCCGCTGAGCAAGCTCGTCCGAAGGCAAATCCGATGCGCTGGATACGATAGAGTAAGGAGCCTCCGAGCCTGGTGTAGGCGCAGGAGGTGGACTTTGGGATGGGGCCGATGAACCAAGATAGCTCGATACTGGGGAGGCCGTCTGAGCAGGAGCTGGAGAAACCCTTTGAGCCTCTGAAGAAGACCTTACCGAGGAGATACGTGAGGCAGCCAGCTCAACGTACTCCGTGCGTTCTACTGCATCTGCCACGGCTCGCTGGCGGCGACTGGCGCGCTGTGCACTCCGCTGTTGCTCGGCTGCAGACGTGTCCGGTGGAGTCGTCTTTTCGGTCAAAGCATGCTCCTCGCCTTCCTCCGCGACCATCACCACATCCTGGTCCGTAAGGACCTCCTCGTCCGGGAACGCATAACCAGCGTCGCCTGGTCCCATGTCCTGATCTTCGTCTCCAGTGTCACCATTGGCGACCGAGGCAACATCCGACTCGGACTTGCTGTCATCGTCCATCAGCGCCTGATATTGGCCGTATTCTCGGGCTTGCTGGAAAAGTTTGAAGGACGTTTGGTGTCCTTGTCCTCCCGGTGAAGACGCGGTTTTTTTCTTGGCGGGCTTGGGGACCAAGATGCGCTGCGGGGGTATGGCCGCTTCGCTCGGGTGTCGCTCCCTTCTTGTTATCGACCGAAACGGCTGGTGAGGTCAGCTCCTCCTCCGCTGGTGACTTCTTCTTGGATCCCTTCCGTCGCACAATGATGAAGTCCCCGTCCGTCCTGGTTTCAGTCATCGCTTGGGTCTGCACTGCGGTGGTGCCTGCCCTGCGGGTTTCCCGTTGTGGACTGGGTGTGGTCCCTTTCTCGGGTGCGACAGCGTCTGGCTGGGTATTGCGCTGTAACGTTGCCGCTGTCAGCTCCATCTCCTTCGCCATCGTCGCCCAAAACGTGTTGAAACTGTCTTCATCCGTGTGGCAATAAGGTCGCGCCGCCCCTACCTGGAATGGGGCCACATGTCCCTGGAAGATCCTGTATCCACGATCCCTAGCATCCATGAGATGTTCCGCTTTGACGCGACAGTACCCGGTTGTATGCTTGGGGCTGTAGCAGCGGCCACACGGGAGCCGTTGTTGAACCAGGAAGTGGTGAAGTACTACCTGCGTTGCTCCGATAGTAACTTGCGTCACTCCTTGCAATGCGGCTGGACACTGCTCTTGGGCGAAACGGACTACGAAGTAGCGGTTATCAATCACCGTTGTAGCGTCCGCGCGCGACCGTTCTGCGTCAAGCACTGGGACACCCGCTAGCTGGGAGAATGCACTTACCATCGTGGCAATGCCAAGTTCCGCCGCCGCGTTTAGAATCCTAATCGAATAAAAACGTCGGAGCTGAGCCGAGTTATACACCCCATCTTCCAGCCCGCTGGAGTCCTCCAGGTCGATGACTACCCGTTGTAGACGCAGCGAAACCCCGTTGTAGAACTCGGCCGTCCGGCGCGAGTGGAATACGAACTTCAGCGTATGGTTGCCGTCAAAAAACAGCATTTTGACATCCTTCAGCATGCGATCGATCATCTCTTTGCCATGCCTTACGTTTTTGTTTGAGTTGAATGACTCCTCGAAGAGCGCCAGGTGGGGCATGCCCTTGCGCAGAGGCACCTGTGGGGGAATATCCGCTGTCAACGTAGCCTCCACGTGAGTCTCATGAAATTGTTCAACCATGGCTCGCTGGAGGACGGGCATTGTCGCCTTCAGAAACAATGGAGGGTGTCTGAGGTCTAGATCGCCCCGGAAATAGGCCATTAACGCCTGCGTCTCCACGGGCGTCCGCTCCCTCAGCATAGAGTCAGAGTGCACACGCGACGCCTTCAGTGCCGCCGCCTGAAGGCTCTTTAACTCCTCCGATAGCTGAGGCGGTCTTGGGGTCGTCCAGTCTTTCTCTAGCGTAGTGGCGAGCTTCGCGAGCACAGCGGGCGGTAGGTCCGGCTTGAGCTGGCGAATGGTTGGCAGCCCCTCACTGGAACGCTCGGCCGCAATTGCCGAAGACGTAAGCGCGGCTGCGTACGTTCGAGGCGCAGCGCTAGTCTTGGGGAGAGGCACCGGAAGGCTGGCTCCCGAAGACGTACGAGCGCGTCCGATGGTGTCGTCACAGGCGGTCCCGCTGTGCGCCCTGGTTCCGATTCCGGCGACTTCTCAATCGCAGAGGAGTCGGCTCGTGCCTTACCAAGCAAGCCACCGTCCCCTGGGTCCGGGGGGCGACGCTGACGCGGTCCACCAGGTGGAGGCGCCGGTCCAGTCACACACAGAAGGAGGGTCGAGCCCACCGCTCAGGTGCTAGTGCACACAGCTAACGGGTGGTCGGTGGGTGGTGAAGGCAGCAAATCCGGGAATTGCAGAGTGATTGCAAAACTGAGCGGCAAAATACGTCTTACAGTAGGTGAGTGATTCATCAAGCTCAAAGCCTTGACGAACGCGCATTTCCTTGCACCAAAGCCTCGCTTGAAAGCGGTTGTGGCGCAATTCCACACTCTACCCGCAACTGCTTGGTGGTGGTCCCGGGGGCGCCAACAAAGCCAAGTTCCGTCATCAAACTCAAAACTGCATTCGATGGCATTCGGCTGGACTATGTAGAACAGCAACGTAAGTCTACAGTACACGAGGTTGAATATCTAAATAACGTTCCCGAAAACGCCAGCGCATTCCCACTCAAATCCTTCGAGACGCGACAGCGCCTGCCTCGGATCGCGGCGAATCAAGCAAATGCGAATGCTTCACAAATAATGTTAATCCCATATTACACGTTTCGCCTCCCCTATCTGGCGCCAACTTGCACCTCCCGGTGGAGTTGAAGATACTACGGAGTCGTATAAACGACGCTGCGCACGGTCTTGAGCATGACGTCGCCCCATCTTGCAATACCTTCGTGCAACTCCTGCAGCGCAAAGGGAGACACAGGAAACTGTGGCTTGTGCAGCTTCACGAAAGCCGCCCGCCGCATCGTAACCACTAACTCCGTCTCTTCTTCCCCAGCACAAGCCGCCGTTCCGATCTGCTTGCCCCCTTTGTGCTTCACCTTCCTCCTGCCCACGGTAAGCACCACTGCTCCGGAAACGTCCTTCCTCACTCTTTCTCTCGGGTTGTACGGGTACAGCTCGTCTTCGTCTACACAGTCACTGGCCATCACAGCACAGGGGCCGACGCCCACCCCCAACTCGTCCTTCGCGAACAATTGCGGGAACGAGACGGCGTTCATCTCGGTCGTGACGCCGCAGTCCTCCGTCGATGCAATCCTGGAATTATACGCTGTTCCCTCAATCGAGTCGTAGTCGTCTCGTACCGTAATATGCCCCAGCCTCTCGGAGATACTGATCTCCATGTTCGTCAAGTAGAAGATGAGCGCATTGTACACTTGCTCCAGCGACTCCACGCCCCTAAAGTGCACCGTCTCGAAGCGGACGCAGCACAAATCCCCCTGCGCGGACTCGAACCTCTCGTCCGAGAGCTGCATCTTCTCGGGCTGCGAGTGGCTGCTCCTAGCTAAGATGTACTCGTAGGCGTTGCGCAGCTTCTCGGTGCGTCTACTCCTCAGCGTCGCTCGTCTCTCCGTCCAGTCCTTACTCAGCCGTATACGCGTATACAGCGGGTGGGTCTGCTGGTCTCCGAGACACCGAGACAGCAGCGACTGCACGTTGGCCACGTGCAGCTGCTGCTGGCGCAAGACGCTCGTGAGCGCCGCGTTCTCCGCCTCGCGCCGCTGCAGCACCGGGTCGGCCTTGGCCGCCTCCTCGGGCGGCAGCGAGCGGGCCTTGAGCACGGCCACCTGGCTCTCGAGCCGCTCGATCTCCTGTTGCAGCGAGGCCTGCTCCTCCTTGCGCAGAATGTAGGTCGCCTTGCGCTTCTTCTTGGGCTTCACGGGCTTCTCGGGCGTGGACGCGCTCGGCGGAGAGGAGTGATGGTCGTCTGAAGACGTGGATGCGCTGGGCAGCGGAGACAGCTCCTCTAAGTAAGGCCCACTCACGTCCGCGAGGGCCTGCACGAACATGCTGATGGTCTTGCTCGCGTGTCGTGATTGGTGACTTTTACGATGTGTTACGCTATAAATAAGGTAAAATGGAGCGGATTAACGCAAAACGGAGTCGGGAATGTTTGTCGCCCTGCGGTAAGGCCTGCGACGTGTGAAAGCGAGTGTCGCTGTTACCTGCCAGTGAGTTTGCCCTCGTCAACGTCACCTTGCAGCATCACGGTCCATGACTCACGACGCTTACGATGTACTAAGTAATGAGAACGCAGGGGAAGGAGCTTCATGTTTCTTTCCCAGCAAGAAAAAGAAGCAGCCCTTACTTGTTATGCAGTGCTAACCATAGCTTGAATAGCGGTCGGCAGATTTCAATGGAAACGGGGCCCAGTAGTCACAATCGCCACTTCGTCGTCGTCTGTTATATATATACTATATAATGAGTCCAACTGCACTCGCAGCTTTCCCTATCTAATCCTATCAGCGGCTAGACGTTTATTTCGACTATGATACTTAAGTATTGCGTTAATTGTTGAAGCAGCACGATAGTTGAAAGCTGCAACTCTAACTGCATTTCGTCTTCGCACCCAAAGCGAGACGAGGTGTTCTACGATGCAAAATTTGGGTGTTGTTGTAGAAATTGTTATCGCATGCAGGCCAAAACCTTGCTACGCGTAGACAATCTTTCGGACAGCTCGGAAAACGTCGTCACCCCAACCTGTGACAGTGTCTTGTAATTCTTGGGTTGCCTGCTCGGACACCTCGAAGTCGGGGCGACAAGTCTTCACGAAGAAAGAGCGCAGCATAACAACAGTCACGTCAGAATTGTTGTCCCCCGTCACCTTCTTCATCGACAAGCCCGCATTCCTGCCTCGACTATTTTCCTGTCGCCCTCTTGGTACTACAAGCAGTACAACCGTTCCATTAATCACCTTGCGGACATGTTCATGGGGGTGATAAGGATGAAGATCGTCTTGGTCCACACTGTCGATCGTCAACACAGCATAAGGGTCCTCACTGGATCTCTCAAAGTAGTGTCCGAATGCCACGCCATTCTGCTCCGTAGTCACCCCACAGTCAAGCCCTGAAATTAACCTGTATCCGATAATTGGAGATAAAACTGCCCGCGTCAACTGCATCGTAGTCGTCTCGAACCGTAATGTGGCCCAATTGCTCCGAAATGTTGATTTCCAGCGTATCCAGCGTGAACTTCACGGCATCAAACACCTTCCGCATCGACTGGACCCCAGGAAAGGGGATCACTTCGTTGCGCACACAGCAAAAGTCCCCGCTTGCGTCTTCGAACCTCTCCTCGGAGAAGTGGGGCCTGAGCGCGTCCAGATGCTGGCAGTGCGCCGTCACGTATCGGAGCCCTCGAGCAATCCTCTCGTCCTTCATGCTGAGCAGCACCTCTCTCCTCTGCGCCCACTCTCGGCCCAAATGAATAGAGAACCCCATGGGATTTCGCTCCTGGTTCTGCAGCCACTGGCTCACCAGACTCTGCGCCGAGGCGACGCCAAGCTGCTGCTGCTCCACGACGCCCTTCAACACGGAGTTCAGCCCCAACGCAGCGTCCCGTTGCGTGTCTCCGTCGTCATTTTTGGTCTGTAGATGCGCTAGCTGCTGCTGTAGGGAAGAAAATTTCTTCCCTACAGCAGCTTAGATTTAATCTGGTCCTGCAGCTCGGCCCGCTTAATACGTGCAGGGTTCCCAGTGGGGTAATTGTGGGTTGGGTAACCCCACCCACCCCCTCCGAACCCAGCCTCCGAATTCTTGGGTTATGTGTTAATCCTAAAAACGTATATTGAAGTGCAATATATACGATCAAATTGTGCCGTAAATGATAAGGCAGCGGTTTTGAGATCGGTTATCACGGGTTTTGCGTTGTAGAACGTCCAAATGGGGTTAGGTAAACTAAAACCCATAACCCAGCCACCCCATGAGGTGCTCCAACTAGAGTTGGTCAAATCCTTATCCAGTTATTACCAGTTACCGTTATTACCTTCGTACTTACCATTTATTAACGTTAATAACTTTTACGTATAGTTGGTGTGGCAGAAATATTCGATCTGCTAACGGTAATACCTCATGTGTATAGTTGGTGTGGCAGAAATATTCGGTCAACGCGTTTCGTGAAGTTGTCAACGTACGTGGAGGTTTACCGACATGAATCTGCGTATGCTCCACGTGGCAGGCAGCTCGCGCACGGGGCCTATTCTCGTCGCTGCATTCGCAAACTTGCTCCTGTAGAGCCTGCAAGCTCCATGGACCAAAACGGCCACCGCAACGAGGACCGGGCTAGCAGTGAAGGTCTGGCCTTGGTCGCCGTTCAGTTGGCGTGTGGACCGAGTACATTGTGGTTGTGCCACGTTGGGCCAACCCGAAGAAGCAGCACCGCGACGTGACGTGCAGGCACTGCTCCAAGCTGATCAAGAATGCCCAGCCCAAGAAAAACCTCCGCCCACACATTCGCAGCTGTCCCTGCGCCACAGCGGACGTCCGGGCTAATTACCCTGTAACACCCTCCAAGCGAGATCGTCCCGACACTTCCGATAGGCCCCACAGTCCATCCAAGCGTTCGCGGCCTGAAATGGCTACGAGTGTGCTAGGACCGGTCTCAGTGACTGAAAAGAAGGAGTTCCATCTTCAGATTGCCAAAGCGTTCTATGCCTGCGGCATTTCGTTTCGAGTCATCGAAAATGGAGCCATGAGGTGTATCCTGACGAAGTACCGGCCCGGAATGACGCTCCCTTCACGCCAAGATTTGGCGACCTCACTGCTTGATAGCGCGTACGCGGAGGAAGTTGCCAGCGTTATGGAGGTGCTGAGGGAGCAGCAGTACGTTGCCATTGTATGCGACGGATGGTCCGATCCCAACAGCGAGTCCATTATCAACTTTATGGCGACGTCTCCATTTATCCGACCCATATGTTGGTCATTGGAGCGCTGCGCCGACAAACAGCATACAGGGGAGTTCATGGCGTCAGAGTTGAACAAGGTGATTCAAGCTGTTGAAAATGTCGTCGGAAAAGGATCGGTATGCGCTGTTGTGACGGACAACGCGTCTAACAGGCGTAAGTCATGGGAGCTTCTAATGGCCAAGATACCAAGTCTAACGTGTAACGGCTGCGCGGCACACACGATCAATCTTCTACTCAAAGACATGTTCGGGATGGAGTTCATGAGTGACGTCTTCAAGAAAGCTGTCCTAGTTACCAAATTTGTGCGTAAACGTGCAGCGCTTCTTTATCGCTTTCGGGCTCTGCAACGCAAGTATTTTGGTACCCGGCAGCGACGACGCGCGCTAATGATCCCTGTTTCGACCCGGTGGTACTCGAGCACAAATTGTATTTCCCGTGTCGTGAGGAACGAAGATGTGCTGCGTGAATTGTTTTCCAACCATGAATTTCTGGCTCGTTACGGAGATGCTGCTGCCAAACTCAATCGCGTCGAGTCCATTTTGGCTGATAGCATGTTTTGGGTGAATGCCAGAGCCGTAATGCGACTGGTGAACCCGATAATCCAAGCTCTCGGCGCTCTCGAAAAGGATGGGTGTTGCCTTTCGATGGTGTATGAATACTTTCGTGGACTGAAAACCCACGTCATCTACAACCGCGAAACTGATGATGTTGCTTCTGGTATTCTTAACACGATCCGAGGCCAGATTAGCTCCCGCTGGAACACCCTCAAGCGCGAATCAATGCTCGCTGCATTTTTACTGGACCCAACTAAGTCTACGGACGACTTTGAAGGTGATGATTTGGACAATGCAGTCGATGCATGCGTAGATCTAGCTACACGAGTTGGTCTACCCTCCAACGTATCTCCAAATGCGGTTCACCGAGCTGTCATGGCTTTTATTCGCGTGAAGAAGTCCTGGACAGCCGAAGACCACGAAAAAACCGCGAGGGACACGCCATTAGACTGGTGGCTGGTCAAGGTTAACAAGTTTCCGCTCCTACATGCTTTGGCTACCCGCGTTTTGAGCATCCCGACGTCGTCCGCTGCGAGTGAGCGCTCGTGGAGTGTTCACTCCTTCATCCGCACCAAGCGACGAAATCGGCTGAAACCCGATCGCGTGGAAAAGCTAGCATATTTGTACTCGAATGCGGGTGACAAGGCTGCAACTAGTGCAGTGCACTATCAAGTCAATGCAGAAGAAGAGGGCGAAAGCAGCGCGAGTGACGACTACAGCGATGATGACATCCTTACGCCAATTGCTCCCAACAGCTCCAGTCGCATGCGCGGTAGTCGGTCTAATACGGCGCACCGATCACGATTCTTCACGCCCTCGCAGACCGACCGACGTGAAGCTGTCCCACCCCCGCTAGCTCGAAGAACACTATTTTCGCCTGCACTAGCCAACCCGCTACCCGACCAAGCGACGAATACCAGCACAGTATGCAGTGACGAGGCTGCGGTCGCTCTTACGCAGTCGGTCGCCCCTACGCAGTCAGTCGCACTTACGCAGTCAACAAGCAGCGGAACCGTTTTCACGCGTGCTGATGCGCGCCAGCTTGTGCCACCGGTCGTGAGGCCGCCCGGATCGGCAAGTGCAACAACACCGAGTCTACCAACTAGCGATAGTCTCGTATTTTCAGGGGGTAGCAGCGGCCGTCGTGGACTACCTCCAACTCCACAGTCGAGCACTGGACGCACCCACCACTCGCCGAGGGTGCTCTTTGGTCCAACCTGGGAGCATTAGCATATTTGACTTTGTTCACGCTAGCTAAGCCCGCAACACGATCCATATTTTCATTCCGTTCACGCCTTCTTGATTACATATCATGCACTAGTTAGTCAATAGAGTCGTCGTCCTCATGCAAATGTGTATCAATGCATTGGCTTCAACCTCTTTCGAATTTCTTCTAGATGGTGCCTCGGCTGATGGTATTTCTAGCAGCTTCCTCCGCTTCATTTTCTCGTGAGGAGTTTTGGTTCTGCTGCGGACTTGGGTAGTTGTTCATGATAGGGGTAGACTTGATGGTGCTTGTCGGACGTGACGGCATACGCTACTCGAGCCTTGATCACTCATGCACGCAGCCGAGGATGTTCGATTTGCTCTTGCCGGCCTCACCACCCTGTTTCAGCGCGCACACAACCTTTCTGTGCTTGTGCGTGGTGAAGCTGCGTGTGGACCCGTGGCCATGGCGGTCGCAGAACACTTTGGTGACCTTAGTGGTGGCGAACTTGCTAGGGGTGAAGGAGAGGTGGAGGGCTAAACCACTTTTGCCCTGACTAATCCGAGTTCAAATAATGCAAACACCAGCTCTTCTTGTTCTTCTTATAATCGTAGAGCTTCACATCAGTTAGCTCACATATTCAGTGCATCGTGCCGTACCCGCCGAAACAGGTTGCCCTTCTACGAGATGACCTCAACTTGAACTTCTGTCACTGAGCTGCCAGCGCAACGGCGCACATTGGCACAGCAGAACGCGCACTAGCACTCCCACAAATAAAGAAGCGTCATATTTGGTTAAGAATGCAGTAATAATGTAACATCAACGCTTGTAGCGCAACATTTAGGCCTCGTCCAACCCTTATCAGCGAGCTGTTCGTTCATGTAACAGCATAATGACCACCTCGGCGATGTATATGATACTCTTCAAGCCCTTCTCTCTCTCTTACGAATCTGCAGCACAACACACAAACTCATGAGATCCACCATATCCAGCTACACGCTCTCCCACCGGCACTTACTTCATTTTTGATGAATCCCTCGGCCAGCAGGCACGTGACGTGGTCCACGTACTGATGGCTAGGCCCGCCCTGCAGGAGATAGGTGTTGTTGGTGCCGGACTCCGTAGTGCCAAAGAACTCGCAGGTCCTGTCGCTCAGCAGTGAAGCATCGGCCTCGTCCGTCGTGAAGCGCACGCCGCACCTGTTCTCCTTGGGCACCATGTCGCCTAGTCCGAAGCAACTGCCGGCCACAACGGTGTACAACTCCCGATGATGTAGACGCCCACACCGGCGGCATGGAGCGCGTGCATGGCTGACTTCTGGCCACTGAAGAAGCGCAGGTCCTTGGTGAACGAGCCGTCGACCTGCAGCTCGCCCACCGACGTATACATGGGGTCCGCGAGGGCCAGGCCGAGCGTCATGGGTTCGGTCTCCGTCATGTCCACTAGCATGGCGCGTGAAGAGATCTTCTGTAGGCAGTCTGAGTAGCCTTGTCGCAGTCCATCGTCTCGGGCCGAAAAGAAGAAGTGCAGGTACACGATGGCTTCCTTGATGACATCCAGCGGGCGTTTGACTACTGCGTTGCGGAACCGTTGCTGATCAGCTTGAATGTGGGGCGATGTACGCGTCGTAGAGCACCTTGGGCCTATTTTTGCGAGCCCCGTGGCCAGCGTGGCGCCGGCGCCGTTCACGTCCTGGCCGAGCAACGAGCTGGTGCCGAGCGACGCGTAGATCGAGGGGAGAGATTCCAGCCTGGGACCGGAGAACGCACCGCGCGCGTGCAGGCTAGCATTGTGTGGGAAGCTGATATGAGCAAAAGCTTGCTCTTCCAGAAGTTACAATGCTTAAGACAATATTTAAGTATTACCATACACAAATGATACACAAAGGTAATACCATCGTTATTAAATGCCTAAAATTACTAATACCAGTTATTAAGAGTTATTAACTTGGTAAGAAACAACACTAGCTCCAACCTTGGAAAAGCCGGGTAACTGGGAACCCTGGGTACGTGGCCTTGCGCTTCTTCATACGCCTCTTCTACCTATTCACCCACCTGTAAGTTGCGTAATGAACCGGAATGGGTGATTATGGGACGCAAAAGGTGGGTGGTTCAGGCTGACAATCATTCTGTAGTTTGGTCTCTGTTGACCAGTCAACCATGACGCTGGCAGAGGAGGTGACGGAGGTCGCGGACGATGCGCCTGCCATGGCAACGGGAGGCGGCGCTGCGGACAAACCCAGGCCCAGACGCAAGCGGAAGGCCACCGGGACTCGACGACGGGTTGGTTTTGCTATCGTTTCTTGTGTTGAGTCGCCGTGGGACTAACGGTGTGGTACTTGTGCAATAGGAGGAGATCGCAGCGCTGGAGCAGGAGGTGAAGGCCCTACAAGCTCAAGTAGCTGGGCTGCAGCAGAAAGCAGAGGCGGAGGCTGCTGCCAAAGCGTCGGCCAAACGCTCCGAGCTGCAGCAAGAAATGCTCGAGACGGGCTTCATCCGACAAGCGGTGCTGCAGCAGCAGGCGTCCCTTGTGAACGTGCAGTCGGCATTGTCCAGGCTGACGGTAAGAGCGACAATGCAGTAGCCGTTTGTTGAGGTTATGTCGTTGCTTACGAAAGTTTACATGGTTTTGCACGATAGATGACCGAGCCTGGAGCTCCACACGCAACGAGCATCCGTCTCGGGACGGACCTGAAGGAGCGGTGGGCGACTTTGTTGCAGATGAAGCCGATCAAGCTGCAGGCGGCGCAGTATTACTGGAAAGAGAGAGGGCGCTTTGTGGATGACACGAGTGCGTTCTCGTACTCCACGCGGTTTGTGGAGCAAGGTGGCTGCTACTGCGGCCAGGTGTACGATGTCGTGCCGTTTGAAGGCGTGAGCTCCGTCAAGCTCGTCTACGATGCTCTTTACCACTACTTCGCTAACATGCAGATCCGCGTTACTGAGAGCCTCGGAGATATCACGATTCGTGAAGACGACGGCAGTTCAGAACCCGGCATCGCACAGTGCCGGTTCGTGTCGTATTTGTCGAACGGGCCTCTGCTCGAAATGAACAACATTATATGCTCCGAGTTCACAGAAGCTGACGACGAGTATGGCGACGGAGGTGCAGTTGGGATTTTTACCGGAGACTTTGTGGAGCAAGACGATCTATACCCTTACGTCCCACAGAAGCGGATTCGCCAGGACGCCACCGTTGTGACGCAGGTTCGATCTCATGTAAAGAAGGTCAGAAACGCCAAGGGTGTGGAGGAAGAGCGGTCGATCGTAGTGATGCAGCGCTGGGCCTACTGCAAGATTCACTCGCCGAAATGGCCGCTATCTCCCGCTCTGATTCACGAAATTCGAGAGAAAAGCTCGCATTAGGATGACGTCAAGCTCGACGCCGTACGAGAACTTGTCTACCGGTCCTCCTCGTGAATATACATTGCTTTAAAGTTACCCCAGCCCGGACATGGCTGTCTTTGTCCAGCTGGCCGTTCATCAAGCGCACTTCGTTGATGAACGCCCACCAACCCATAATATCACCCACAATTGGGTGGGTAAGTAATAAAACCCCACTTCAGAATTCCTTACCGACTCAAGACAATGCAGTCTACTGTCCACCATGACGACTCGAGCGACTCGGAGACTGCCGCGTCGCCCAGCCAAGTACAGGACCACGACGTGGTAATGATCGACTCCGACACCCCAAGATCCCTCTCAGATTCTGCAGATAGCGCGCCCACCAAGCCTCGGCGAGTCAAAAAGCCCACGTACAGGGTGCGCAAGGAGGAGGAGTTCCTCCTGCAGGAGCTGGACCTGCTGCAAGCGCAGCTCAAACAGCTCAAGAAACAGGCGGCAGTGAACGCGGCCAAGGCGGAGCAAGAGCTCTCCAGTGTACAGCGAGAACTCTCGAGGGAATTCCTCGCTGGGGCCTCTCAGCAGCAACATTTGTCGCTGGTCAACATCTATCGGGCTACGTGGTACGTTCGTTCGAACCAATTCAGAACTTCCTAGATATTTCTTTCATTAACTTTATTATTTTACTTAATTATTTTTTTCTTATGTGTAGAGTGTGCAGCAGCATGTTCCGTTCGAGATGTGGATTTATCTGGGGACTGACGTGGAGGAGCGGCGGCAGACGCTGGCGGCGCTAAAGGCGCTAAAGGCGCTGAAATTGAGGGCGGCGCAGCTTTACGTCGTGGAACGAACCAGGTTTTTAGATCCCGCGAGTCCGTTTGCTGAGCACTCGCGGTTTATAGCCCAGAATGGGGATTATTGCGCCTTGAGGTTCGATATCACGCCGTACGAAGGGATCTCGAGCGTGAAGACGGTGTACGACGCGCTTCATCACTACTTCAGTCACATGGAGATCTGGGTGACGGACATTTTGGGGGACGTAACTATCCGAGAGGACGATGACAGCGCTGGCAAGGGCATCTCGCAGAATCGACTGGTATCGTCGCTCACTAACGGAGTGGAGTTGGAGATGAACAACGTCATGTACTCGGAGTTTCGAGAGCACGACGACGAGTTTAGTGACGGGGGCGCGTGCGGGTTCACGGCTGACTTCGTGGACAAGGACGAACTGTTTCCGTATAAACCGGACCGCTTGCGCTATGATGTGACGGCGGTGTTGACGGTCAAGGCGCTTCAGCACCAGAGGCGAAACCCGGCAGGGGAGATCGTGACTGAGCCAGTGGTTGTTCTCACTCGCTCCTGTCGGATTAAACTTCGCCGCGGGGATATTACGTTGCCGATTGAAACAGCACATGAGCTGCGCGAAAGTGTTGGCAAATGGGGGGATGTGATGTTGCAGACTGTACGCCAGATTGTGTATCGATGATTCATGTTTGCGAGGAGCATTCAACTGCTTTGAAACAGCAAATGTTGGTATATAGATGGCAAAATCAATACCAGTTGTAACTTGAAGCTCTTACAGAAACCGCTGAGTGATACAAGAAGAGTCTGGAAGTACACTGAGTCGCGAGTGATTCCTTGTTTCTACTCGGCACCAGGTTGGCAAAAGGCCATGCGCCGGTACTCAGGCTTACGGCAGTGCTCTTCGAAGTAGACGACGTAGCCCTTGTAGACGCGTCGCTTGATGGGCTTCACCAGAGGCCTCAGACCCGTCAGACCCAGCACTTGCTTGACATCGTACGGAGTCATGTGGGCGTGAAACCAACGATGGTACTTCGGTCGGTCGATGGTCGGGATGATGAGGTCTCTCTCTTCTTCGTCGTCCTCAGCGCCCGGGGTGACATTGTCCGTGTCTTCCTCGGAGGTCAATCTCAGAAATCGCTTGTTTTTGTCGCGGACAGTTTCCTCGTGTTCATCACGTGACTTCGGGTGCTTCTTGGCCGCTGCAACCGTCTCACTGCACGCCAGAAGAGTGGCCAGCACAATGAGGAGACAGAAGGAAACCCGCATTCTTGTGGTTGAACTACTGGTTGAGAGTTGAATGTGAGCGCTAGGAGGAGAATTTCCGAATGCCATCTACGAACTGAGCCCGCGATATAGTATCCAAGCTCATTTTTATCTGTTCGACTGAGCCAGGTATCTGATACCAGCGCCAATTCCTGCTGGTAGGTGGCATCAACAGCAAATCTTTGACAGGTTTTGAAGTAAGTCAGCTTCCTTGGTGAAGGAACCCATTCACCAACACTTGGCTAATGCATGCTGTAGATCAAATGGAAGATGCCATGGAAAGTCAAATCTTGAGGAAGATACCAAGAAGGCATTGCGCTTAGCCGGAGCCTGGCTCATAGATCTTTCCGATCTGCAGTAGGCTCCGCTGCGCGAATGCTGGCCCAGCTCAAGCTTATCAGTTGAATAATTTCAGTCGGGGGACTGGAGTCGAGTCGCTGGATGAATACGGTCGTTTGTACTACTAGTACTTAGTAGAAAAATCGGTTATAGGCATCTGAGATTATCTTACAGCAGAATCTTATGACTCCTGTAGTTTTACTTAAAAGTATGGAACTACAGTAACTACCAGGCTCTTGCTCTAGTAGTCCTCCACGCCATCCTCATTCTCGCGACAGAAACGCTGGTTGCGAGGTTCGTCGCATGCGTCACGGTAGAACCGCTTGTAGCCCCGGTAAATGCGGCGCTTGATAGGGTTCTCAAACAGGCCGAAATCGCCCAGGCCCAGGTCATCCGCAACATCACCCGGCGTTTTGCCTTCGTCGAACCAGTCTTCGTACTTCTCTTCATAGAGACCATCAACAATAATTCCTCTCTCTTCGCCCTTCCCCGAGCTGGACTTGCCGGACTTGGCGGTCGTGTATTCATCCGGATCATCACTCTTCGTCTTGGTATCGGCAGAAGTTTCGTACTTTGACTTCTGGTCGTCGTCGGTAGGCTTAGAGTCATCGTCGTCGTTGCCCTCTGGTTGAGCTCTCAGCAATTGTCTGTCATCGGTGACACCGCCAATAAATTGGCGCTGGACGCCTTGGTCACGTGATATCACCTTCGACACCTTCGTGATTTTGGCGCTCGATGCAGCACTGGCGGCGTCATTGCAAGCCAAGAGGCCAGTAGTCGCCACCAGTACAAGAGTGTAGAATCGCATCCTTGGACTTGGGTACAGTGCTGGAGTTTGGGGGAGTTCTTTGCTCTGGGAGTCGAGTTCGAAAATGAAATCAGCTATGGTGTGGGCTGTGATGGTCTCCTGGGGTCAGTGGACTGCACAGTCTTGATTTCGTTACTAGTGCAGTGGATACAACTAGAGTTTTGGATGTTTACATGCATACAAACTGATCGACAAGAAGATAATTTGGAATGGCAAAGCCCAAGGAAAGGAGCATCCTCTTATCGTTTACATCAGTAGCCGTATTACGTGTATGCATTCATTCCTCCTGGTTGTGAGTGCATCCACTACAACTAAAGCGAAGAGATCTCAGAGCTTTTAAATTTTTTTGCGAACAAGTGACTGTCAAAGAAGAAAATGTGGAGCAGCAAGCAGTTCCTGTAGTATGTTGTGCGATTATCTGCTGCTCTGATTTACTCCTAAGTCAGGAACAAACCTCCATCTGCGCTTTACACGCCCGCGTGTGCCCGGCAAAAGCTTTTGTATTTGGGCATACGGCAGTGTTCATCGTAGAACACGACATAGCCCTCGTACTCGCGCCTCTTGATAGGCTTCCAGAGACGCCTGACTCCAGTAAGCCCCAGCACCTCCTTGACCGTGTAGGGCGTCATTCCGGCATGGAACCAACGCCAGTACTTGGGTCGGTTGATCGTCGAAATGATGAGGTCTCTCTCTTCTTCGTCGTCCGAGTCGGCAGCATCCTTGCTGGACTCGAGGTCGTCACTGCCATCCTCTCCGCCCTTCTCATACTGTGTACTACGGAGAGCGCGCTTCCTATTTTCAATGAGCTCGTGGCCCGGGTATGCTAGCGTTGACTCCGAGATAGCAGCGGTATCACCGATCGCCAAGAGACCCGTTGCTGCGATGAGGAGGAGGCAACCGAGACGCATGCCTGGGCGTAGGGGGGGGGGGGTTGTCGTGTGGAAGCTTGAAGGTAGATTTCAAAGTGAACTCGTAGCGATGGACTCTCAAACAGCGAGAAGCAAGTACGCAAGGGGAACTTCTCGTGAGCCGGGTCGATTTTCGAGTCCCATACGGTCCAACTCCTTCGAGCTATTAGCCCATATATCTGATCTGCATGTGGCTTAACACCGAAAGATTGGATAATGGAGTTTGCTTCATGGAAAGTTGGATCAAAAGGAAGAATATTCGGAATGACAAATTTGGCGATCTGCTTGGATGCACCTAGCCGGATATTGTAACAAACGTAAATGTCGGCAGTCCGGGCACGATTCACGTCACGGCGAGGAATCCGGACTCGAAGATTAAATTCCTGAGTGCAAACTACTGTAGAACAGTATTAACAATTAACAAGTACTTCTGTGACTTCTACGAAGTACATGCAAAACCATTTTACTGGACCGCCAAGAGATCTTCAGGTACTTTTAAGTCTGAATCTCCGACACAACATCTTGCCCTTCACCAACGAGTGGTGTCGTTGGTAAAGGGCAAGATTAATTTAAAAAAAGTCTACTTAAAAGTAAAACTTATTTCGTAACACAAACTGTCGGGCCCATCCAAACCGTGTCTGCAAAACTGAACTTACATTTCGAGCTTACTCCACCATGAGCAGCATCGTCCATCTACCCAGACTGTAGGGGGAATGAATACTGCAGCGGTTCTTCGAGGCTAAGCAGTTGATGAGGGTTTCCGCATTCATCCGCCGTAAATCTATAGGCAACAACTCCTACAGAGTCAATCTCTATCTTCGCCACAACTTGAAAAACTATTGTGGACATGCTAGGAATTCGCTCACTATGATAAAAGTTGTAATTAAGTAAGGGCCAAACAAGGTAGCTATCTATCTAATAATGCATTTGACATGTGAGGTAAATTCTGGTCGCTCTTACCCTTTTGTGGTTCATATTGTACCAGTCACAACTCAATTTAATTGCCATGATATGTTTCTGAATCCAGCAAGCAACATATTTTTTGCCAAGTCTCAGTGAAAACAAAATTTGATCATGAGCACACATGAGAATTCACACGCTAAGTCTGAACATGGTTTCGAATAGATTGGACGGCTACCGTGTAAGGTAAGCTAGGTAAGCTTAGCGCAATTGTGTGCTGTTCCAGAAAAAAAAGAAGCGTCTCTATATGATTCTGTAGTCGATGAGTACAGGTACGTGCATTATACTAGTCGTTGAAGCTCAGTACGTGTTCTCGCGGTCGCGAAAGAATAAAGACCGATGCATTTATCGCAAAACGACAGGAAAACAAAGAAACGATCACGTAAGGTTAATCGATTAGAGCACGTAAGTTTAATCGATTAGAGCCCCTGATTTAGGGGCTCTGAACGTCGTACTGCAACAAGCTAAGCTTAGAGCGAAAGTTCAGGTGGTCAGTCATCTGGCGCCGCCGCTAAAGTAAGGCGGTAGTGAAACATCTTTTACTAAGCTAGCATGAAAACGTACGCGTTAGTTCGCTTAAGGTTTCGGCCTAACAAGACTTCGATCCATATCGCTCCTCACTCACGGGTAAATGTATCCCTCAAGCTCCTTCTTCCTACGCTCACGACGCTTCTTAGCGGTGTAGTACGAGTAGTAACCGAGGTAGAACCGCTGCAGATCACTCGCCTGCTTCGGCGATCCAATCGACAAACCGATCGCCTTGGCGACCTGCGTGGGGGTCATTTTCGCCTTGTAGAAGAGCTTGTAGTTGGTTTTGGCCGCACCCGCGCGCTCCGTCATGCTCTCCAGCTCCGCCATCGCCTTGTCCTCGTCGTTCGTGTCGAGCTCTGCGTCGCGTTTCCTCAGAAATCGTCCGTTGTTACCATCATTGAGGGCGGCGGCGTCGGCTGAAGTCAACTTGGAGCTCTTGGGATCGGCCACGGCAGCGTCGCAGCAGGCGAAGAGGGCGAGCGCCGCAACGGCGGCGACGTGAAGCAGACGCATTATTGCAGATTCTGGGGGCCTCTGTCGACGCTGTGGCAACAAAGGGCAAATTGCGAACTGATGACATGCAATTGGTTCATGAGGCTCATGAATCATGATGAGCCAACGAACAGCACAGCTCGACAGCAGCAAGGCGTCAGATGGTCGATTTGCTTTATCTTCGGGATCGAAAATGTCCGGATGTATTGCAGCCGTCGCTCGATCAAGCCCAGCGCTGAATACATACTGGGGCGGCATTGACATGTGAGGTCAGCATCCTTATGGAGGCCTTAGTTGGAACGGCGTTACGGCTACATGATTACGACAAGACGACAGCTCTTACGGCACCATAGCAAGGGTTTTTCCACATAGCAAACACCACACCAAGCAACGTAGAGGTTGTATGGTAGAATATCGTGTCCGTTCGGACATCTAGAATTTCGCATTACAATAGTACACTAGCGCTTGGCCTATCAGAAGACTTTCTCATACTTTGTGAGCCAATCGGCGTGACTCAAATCTCATGCTGTGCCGTAAGTAACAAATCGGGCAATTCGGACATATTTAGTCCGAACATCTGAAAAATATTTGATATTTCTTTAGTCAAAGCCAGTAAGTCAAATATTCTGAAAATATCGTCAATATTCGGGCACGTATTAATTTTAAGGGCGCCAGACAGACGAGGCAGCATAACCACTCAAGAAACGACTCATGTCGACGAAAGCGCTCATACCTGGGAACTCCCAGCGGGCTCGCTCGACGGCTCTCAACGCCTTCTAGCGCTTCGCGGTCGCCGAGGGCTTCACCGTGAACGCCATCTATGAGTTTGTAGGTGGGGATTCAACTGGCGATACTCTCTCCATTGTTCTCGACAAATTTGCAGTGTATTTAGCATTTAAAGAAAGCTCGAAGGGCTCGCTGCTATCCAAGAACTCGGTCGCCAGCTACTTTGGCAACGTCAAGAACCACCTACTCGAACTGTTTCCAGCTTTAAGTGCTGTATCGGGTCGTCGGCTGCAAAAGATTGCGTCAATCCTCGACAAGTACTGCTCCAAGCGAGGCACAGACTATACGCACCAGGCCCCACCGTGCACGAAAAGCGACCTGCGCTCGCTCAGCTTAGCGATATTGAAGGGGGCTGTATCTGTGCAGGACTACCAGGATGCAGCCCTTCTCAACATTCTTTGGTTTTTGCTGGGTCGGCCTTCAGACACTATGTGTCTCGTGAAAAACCAGGTCGCTGTTTACCCTGGTAAGTACTTGTCTTTTTATTTTCCCTAATTTGGTGTATTTTTAATCGTGGTACACAGGTGGGTGTCTATTTATCACCTTTAAGCGCATGAAGTCTGCCTCGTATCAAGGAGCGTCGATTTTTCACGACCCAAACGATTTTTCGTCTTGCCCAATTCACGCACTAGCTTTGGCTACAATTATGCAGTTGACTCCAAGCGAGTTTCTCATGGATCAACTTCCTCGGGATACACAAGAGCTCCTGCCGACTGAAATTGGCGAAACGCCGCTCCGCGAACTACTTGATGTGCGTACCAGGTCCCCAGCAACCTCCAACTCTGAGTCGCCGACCCCAAAAGGACCTGCGAAAAAAGCGACAGTCCCCGGAATTCACGCGTATGTTAATCGCGTACTGCAGAAGTGGAGTGGTGTCTGCCAAACCGAAGGTACTAACCTGACGCCAGGGCTATCATCGCATTCATTTCGGCGTGGAGCTGCTCAAAACGCGAATAGTGACAGCAAAATCAGCACACCTTGGATTCTAGACCATGGAGGCTGGAGCATGAGTGCTGTGAGCAAAGCGTTCAATTATATTGTTGGCACGACCCAGGAAGATCAAACCGTCGGCAAGTCGTTAGCTGGATGGGATTTAAAAGCTAGTCCGCCGCTTCCTACACTGGACGACTTCGATCCTCTGGTTCTGCATCGAATTCGCCTACTTCAAGACCGGCTTTTCTCGGCTGCGAAGGGGTTCACGGAGAGACTCAGCTTGCGAGATGATGTAGTGGACGTACTTACCGCCACCGCCATTCTCCACTACCCCGACATGCTTCGGCTTCGGCCAGAGTCACTGTACATCAAACGGGTTCAAGAAGCACTAAGGCAGGTACAGGCGACAGAGGCTGAAATTACTGCATGGTCAATGGCTATTCATCGTACCTTACAGCCGTCGAAGAACGACACTCCACGCAGTCCGGCACCACGGCATGTTGAAGACGACGAACTCTTGCGGAGGCAAACCTTGCTCTTGGAGCAGCAGGCGCCGATCCTTGGAGGGCTAGCAGCCGAAGTGAAGGCATTGAACCAGCGGGTGCAGCGGCTTGAGCACCCATCGGACGTAACCACCACTCCGTCGACAACAGCAGCTGGTAGCCTGTCGAGTTCGTCCAGCGCTTTGTCGGATACTGCAAGCGGCGCGGCAACTCGTGCGCATTCGCGTGCGAAGCCACTCGCGACTGTGTGGTACGAGTGGTTTCTGCCCCCGTTGCCAAGCGCGCGTCCAAACCGGCGGCGCTATCACGAGTGCAAGGTGGCCGTGGCCTTTATGCGGGTTTTTCTCCCAGCCGGATACAACGTGACCGGAGATGAGGTCATAGCAAAGGGACGCATCCTGAGCTCCGGACGGGGCCGAGGCAAACGTTCTTGCTTTCCTGGAGGCTGAGAACGTCAAAGCAAAGTCGCATGGCACAATTATTAAGGTTTTGAAGCGGATGTATGCTCCAGGCAAGCTAGACGACCGCATCAGGAATTACCAGCGACTTCAGCAGGAAGGCAAGGCTCTTGAAGATGCACCGGTGCATGTTCTTAAGTCCTACAACAATCACAGCACAACGTAATTGTAGTCTCGATCCAGTGTTAGGTCCCAACACATAGTTACATCATACATAGATTAATTCACCCATCTCGTTACCTACTTACATGAAGTGTGTGTGTCACACCATTTAGTCGGAAAGGTCGGAGGTCGGATATTTCATGGTATGGATACAACTCGTCCTCGTCGACAGGTGATGCAGCCATGATATCGTAAGGTCCTTCCTCTTCTTCGTCGTCAAAGAACTGGAAGAACTTGATGGCGTTTTTCTCGACTATCAGCCCATTCGAGAGCATTGTCACCAGTCGATGGTGCAGCATAGGATTCGTACTGTTGCTTTCATGGTCGCTCGAGTCTTCTCTCACGGTCAAATCTTCGCTCAGCTCCGTCGTGGTGATCTCCAAGTTCATGAAGTTAAACTCCAACGCATCAAACACTTGTTTGACGCTCTTGACACCGACAAACTGATGCACATCCAACTTCGTAGCAATGTAGTGGCCCTCGTCCGTCAGATACCCAGCCTCCTTGTGGAAAGGTCGATTGGGATTCGTCACCAGATGCATCCTTTGCTTCAGAAACTGCTTCGCCCGCTCTAACTGATCATGTTTCAGTGCACAAACCTCTGACCGCCGCGTGACTGGGTCCTTGCTCAACTGGATGAAAGTCTTCAACGGGTTATACCCGCGCAGCGTCTACCAATATTCACTAAGATTAGTCGACTTCTTGCCACTCCCTGAATTTTCGCACGAGCTTACCGAAAACTCCGCGAGCACCGACTGAGCAACGGCCATCGCGTTCTGCTGCACTTGGATCATATCTTTCAGCTGCCGGTTCTCCTCAACTTGATGCTCTGTTGGTGCCACATCCTTAGGGTCTGGAATCCCCGCCTCTTGACGCAACAAAGCCACTCGAGCTTCCAAGAACACCAACTCCTTCAGCAACTGCTTCTTCTCTTCCTACACAACAGTAAAAATAAATAAATATATCGCGCGAGTTACTTAGAGTTATGGTGGAAATATACTGGAGCTAGATGAAGGCTTTGGCGGACCCTTTTGGCGACGTGGCTGGGCGTTCGGCCTTTGGTTTTCTTGCGCTTTTTTGCGCCGGAAGCGAGTTTCTGAGCCGCTTCGTCGGATGTGGAGCCGCTGTCTTCGCTGGTTAGTGCGCGCTTGTGCTGCGGCTCGACGCTGATCAATGGGTAGAACGTCTGCGCCAGAGAGAAGAGGATCTCCTCCGACACTCGGCCGTCCATTTCTGATGTTGACGGTCGAACGTCCTATAATCAGCGTTGCGTCAATTTACATTGAAAAATTGATTGAGATTTACCGACTTCCTCCGCTTGTAGTGGACAACCCATATATGAGCGCCCAATCATATCACAGGATTTGGAGGGCCTTCTCGACTCCGCTTATAAGTTCCGCATAAATCATTTCGATACGTTTCCACCGGTAATATATCGGTGCGATGGAGCTTCCCTTCATTTCACGCAGCTGCGGCTGCAGCCTAGAGCTACCTGGACGCGGTTGCTGCCAGTATCCACTACCTATGCTAGTGTTAAGCGCTGCTGCGGCACACGTATACTATACCTATACGGTACAGACGTTCGGAGAGTGGTTTGCTAGCATCACGCTGTTCCCATCGACCAATGACACATGTTACCGAGTTAGACTTCAATAAAACGTTTACCTCAAAGATGTTCTAAAGCCAGGGCAAAGCATTGCAACGGCACTAGCCTCACGCGGGCGCGTATTGCTCAAGGCTTTGCAGGGGCAGCCTGTTGCCTGCCGCGAGGTGTCAAGCGCGACAGGCTCGCTCAGGCGGCTAGCGGCGTTGTACCAATAAAGTGAGCAAAGCGCAAAAAAGTGGCAGCTAATCGACTACTGGTACCGGTACCAGTTGCCAGATTCGGCATATGATTTTTGATGGGTGGTACAGTGTACCGGTATATACCCTGTCCACTATAAGCGGAGGAAGTCGGTACCATGACGAGTCGTGATTCACGACGCAATTATAATTGTACAATGTATTGTGCTTTGCAATGATTTTGGCAATATGAGGCGAGATTTGCTGTATTTATAGCGACTACCCGAAGTGGGTCCTCCGACGTTAACTAGCCCTAACATCAGCTAAATAACGTTGCAATAACAAGAATGACGTCGCCCAAAAACTAAATGACGCGTAAAATACGTGACAACCAAATCCTTCATTCCGGCCGGATTTTCCCTCAGGATTAAAATACTCATTTGAAGTGAGGGTTTTTCGATTAATTTCGAACTTAAACGGAAAGAAGCTGTACTTTAGGAAAAGAGGGAGAATGTCAGCCCTCTATTTCAGAAAACCAGCTCGGACCGCGCAGCCACCTCCTGGAAACATTACGATAGCCCTACGCGCCCGCTGTTAAAGGGTGGGGCAAACCAAGCGACTTCACGAATTACGTAAGTTTGACCTTGCTTCTTACAGGTGTGCATTAATGCTGCTTGTTATATGTGCATTAACTTTGGTAAATTGTTATTGTTTATTTGGTATGTATCAAGGCTGTTAAGGAGGCGGCAAAAGCGGCAGGATGCCTCGTACGGGCAAGCTGAACGAATTGGCATCGGAGATGGTCAAGCTGCGAGAGTCTGCCCCCCCCTCCCTCCCGCGAATACTAAAGGTAACGTTGCTCTGCGCTCTATTGTCTGCTAATGTTGCTCTATGATTGATAACACTGCTTCATTAATATTTATGTCTCTATGTTGTTTTGACGTTGGTATTCAGCTTCAAGCTGCGCGCTGCGGGACGACAAGGACGTGCGGGCCGAGAGGGAAGTCCACATCTAGCAGAGTACCGGACTATCATCGTTCAGGTCCCTGACATAATGACTGCTGCTTCGAGTTGCTTGTAATTATGTTCTGATATTTCCGTACACCTATACAATTGTCGTCCTAAACGTTTGCGAAACATTTGCGCCCAAGCGCTTAGGTTTAATCGAATGAGGTCGACACTACCGAGTACTAACGTTGCTTCTCAATAACGTTGCATTATGATTAGCGTTGCCCATTAACGTTGCTCCAAGATAACGTTGCGTTATGTTTAGCGTTGCGCATTAACGTTAATCCAAGATAACGCTGCTTTTTTTTAGCGTTGCACGTTAACATTGCCCGTTAATGTGACTTGTCCTACTTCCTCTGTTCTTATATAAAGCTAGTGTTCAAAGGGTACAATGCCTTCCCCAAGGCGTACTTATAGTTATCAACCGCCAAACTATTCAATTGTATTACCTGGGTCAGACGCATCCGCCATTACATGATCGCTATAAAACTTAGCAAAGTACTTTACTATAATGAGAGAGGATATCACTACGGTGACTTAGCCAGCGCGTAGTATAGGAAGCATATTAAATGGAGGCAGGATCACGCATCTGCATACTTTGCCTATAGATATATTGAGTCAATTTTTAAGAAAACAGCGATGTATACCGTTTGATTTAGAACCAGATCGCAATCTACTTTGATATCACTGCTATTAAATTACAGCACATAACTGATGAGGAATCTGTTTAACGCTTAGCATGGACATGTCTGCTAGAACCTGCGACCCTTCTGGTAGATTAACTGTGACGATACATTTATGCATCACTTCGATAATGTTACCCTAGGTGAGTTTGATAATAGATCATACGTCCATTCGTTGCATGTGTCGATGTGTAGTAGTTATTGCACACAGTAATAAGTAAAATATAAGCATGAACAGCTATGGTTTATCGGCTAAGCAACAGGCAGCAATTCAAGTCTTACGCTGCTTAAGTTCCAAATTTTACAGCGACGTTAATAGTTCTTGCGCAACGTTAACTGATTTTACCTAACAATTACGATGCGCGATTGACGGTAGCACCACTCGTACTAAGCCTTTTACACTTCATACTGTTAATATATTGAAGCCTATTTATTGTAGGTGAAGTACACGCAACCTGGCAATGTAGTCATTCATAATCTGGCGGATGTACTAAGACGGAGACAATGAGAGTAGTAACCGAAGGTAATAGACGTGCACCTAATAGTTTTATTTTATAGATTCTGACACGACTTTACACAGTAGACGCGGAACTTCCGTAGTAGACGCGGAACTTCAGCGTCTACTATTATTCCAGATTTTCTGAGAAGAGGTCAACTAGTTTGTAAGAGAATAATTTTTAAACTAGTCAATGCACGATGGTACAGCATTGAATGCACGTACACTCACAATATCATAATGTTATAACCAGCGACGTGGACCTGGTATGTTACTTGATTTATCAGTAGGGTTTGCTGCCGTGCAATACTGTCACCAACAACTTACCTCGAAGAAAGTTAGTGGGCGATGTGATCGAAGGGCAACGTTAGCGGGCAACGTTACTGCGAGAGCAACGTTATCAAAAGAGCAGTGTTAATGGTTACAAAAAAATATAATGGTCACTTTTGAAACGCTTTTACAAGCGCTTGATTAGTTATATACTCTTACAAGAAGAACTATGTCTCGTTGTCGAAGAAGTACAGCCCAGAAAACCATTGGCATCCGCGATAAAACGTACCCATGCAGAGATAAATGAATCCGAACACCAGAGTATTCACAATTTGAGCCTCTGTTAGCATACTTTGCGCTCACAAAAGTGTACTCGTGGTGTGTGCCACTTCAGAACTCTCCCACCCTCACGTCTGAAGTCCTCAGTGAGCGGCTCGATAGATTTGCGCACCTCGTGAGCCTACTATGTACTCATTCAGCACAGATAATACCTCAGAAATAAATTACCAATGTGCAACACACGAGGAATTTATCCGATAAATTACAAGTCCGACCTTGTCCTACCATGTACCCATGTTGCTAATAACGTCGCAATAAGGCCCTAACGTTGCCGTAAAAGCGTTGTGACGTTGTAAAATGATGACCGATAACGTTGCAGGAACGCCATCCCGACCACCTGCTAGATTTACGATAAATCGAGGTGCATAAATGGGTGGAGGCCTAGAATTACGCTAAAAGCGCCACAATTCTGTCGGTTTTTATCCACAAGCACCTACACATACGGCGATTACTGTATGTATAAGAGGGTGGATGTGCTGGGGATCATGGACGGTGGTGTACTGGGCCAATGCATGGCATTTATGCATAATTTTAGCAGGTCGTGTGTCTTCTTTCACACATATTTAGTTTGCCATATTTAGCGTCTAAAATGGTCGGCAAAATAACTGCAAAGCACAATATTAACCCCTTACTTCCCGGCTCTCTATACGAGGGTATATTTTTTTACCGTCCCGTATCCAAGTATATTGGTTTTTGTATGTGTCGCCGCGTAAGTACGGATTTGGAGAGGGTGGTTGGGGTTGTGCGAGAGAGAAGACAGGTGGCTATAGTAGCGGCTCCTACAACATAAAGCCATCTTATACAGCCAAAATGAGGCAGTAACAGTGCGTATGATGGCGAAATCAACATAACGAATGTCCCGGTCATCGGAGAGCCCATCTTTGCATCGTTGCACACGTCCAGCAGCGATGGCTTCCGTGTTGCAGCCAATGACAGGAAAGCAAGAGTAACGCATTCATTGATTGCAAACCGCAGAAGTAGAGTTTCCATTGATTGCAAGCTACCAAAGAACAGACACACTGCCTACGACGATTCGCCGTCTGCCTCCCCTGCACTTTCATCATTCTCTTCCTCGGCAGCCTCGCTAGCCGACACCTACTCCCGCCGTTCCCTCGGACTCCGCGACGGCGTGACGCCCCCCTTGCGCGATGCGACGTCACTTCTTACCAGGGCGCGAGGGTGGCGGCCGATTGCGGATCTTGTGCTCTTGCAGGAGCGCCTTCGGGATGTCGTTCCCGTTGCTCCAGTCGGTGTGCCAGATCTGGAAGCAAGTTTTGGCTCTCCCCCCGTGCTATATTACACAGATACTTGCTGCATCAACACATAACACGTTAGTCTGCATTACAGAATCATAGCAGTAGAAAGCGCTGCCACGCACCGTCGATCGCCCGTGGAGCACTCTGGGCAGAAGTACTTGGTGAATTTCCTTGGCTTCACCTTGAGGATGGCGCCCACCTGGCATGTGCGGTGTCGGCGCTTCGTCCCCTGCTCACAGTCGACTGTATCTGGTTCTCTTCAAGGCGGTGGTCGCAATCCGCTGATGCAAGCCCTTCGTCTGCAGCTGACCGCTGCGTAGCTCCATCTCGGACTGGGGAAGCCGCCGTCCGTTCTCGAGCACTTGTCGCTGGCTGCAATCAAAAGCAACAACATAACACGATGATGTGTTGGATATCAGCGTAAGCGTGGACGCCTATGTTGAACCGGCAACATATCACATACCTCGATTACAGCGATCGCTTCCGGAGAGTCGACGGCGAGTAGCTGCTCCATCAGCGTTTCCAGAAACGCAAAGTGTTTGGGCCGCTTGTTGTTCACCTTTCTGAAGAAGCGATAGATGATGAAGGCGTTCACCAGCGCCATGTCAAAGAAGCCCAAGAAGAGGGTCTTGTAGTACTTGCACGTCTTGTAGGCTAGCTGGAAACTGTAGCGCTGCATCCTCAGTTGGTCATGAACGTCGACGCCGCCCATTGAGCGGTGATAGTCTCGAACTATCTCTGGCGCCGGAACAGACTGCATGAAGCCATGAGTGCGGCGCACTGTTGCATACATCATTAGATAGGTTAGCAATCGATCCATTGTAGAAAGTAAGAGCATACGTACGGATGGAGATGGTGCGTCGACTGTCTCCTGTCGACAGCATGTGCACCGGAAGGCGGTCCATCCACATGACTGCCGTCAATTGAGGGAACTGCTTGTTCTCCGCCAGCTTCGTGGTCCCCTGCGGAGGCACCATCACTTTTCGCTTGTTCAGCTGCTTGGTCTTCTTCTTCGTGATGACGTTCTTGGCGTAGCCAGACCGGTCCGTCTGGATCGTGCCGGTGATGTACAGCCGGCGATGCAGCAGCTCCAGCGCCAGCTTCACCGACGTGTAGAACCTGTCTGTAATCACCAGTCGCCACGGGGAAGTTGGCGGCGGCGGGCATAGCGCATTCATGTTGCGCAGCACTGCAGCTTCTCCAGAGTTGTTGTCCGCCGGCACGGGCGTCTGCAAGTGCGCCTTGGCCCCACAGTACACTTTAATTCTGGTAGTATAGCAATCACATCAATAAAGTTAGCTTTATGTTATACAATAACATTTCAAGCCGCTCTTATGCTGGTTACCATCCAACATAAAGACTTAGGCAAAAAAAATCCCGTGACGAGTCGGAACTCGCCACGGGTCTTCTCACCTCATGCAGTAAGCTGTCTTGGCACACGCAGCGACGAACACCTTCGTCCCCCACTTGTGGGGCTTGTCCTTGTTGAACTGCCGAGTGGGGTTGTATCGGGAACGCGACGGCAGCGTTGCTCCGTCGAAGCTGATGATGGGAGGGACACGGTAACCGCGGGCGAAGGTCCGTTGTAGCACGTCGACGACTGGACGGATCTTCCAGGCTCTGTCGGTCTTAGCGTTCGGAGACTTGTTGTTGGAAAAGTGCATGTAGCCCATTATGTGGAAGAAGCGGTTCTTGCTCATGAACAGGCTCAAGCGATTCGCAGGCATGGCGCCCACCTTCGCCACTGACCAATGCGCTGCAATGCCCTTGCGAATCGGTGCCAGTATCCTGGCAATGAGCAGGCCCATCACCTGCAGCACCTCATAGGCTTCAATTTCCTTGACACCAGCGAGGCGACGCCGAATGTCGCCGAGGTCTTCAGCTTCGCCACCACTCTTGCTGTAACAGGGTTACACGCACAAGTGGCTACAGTCACTTGTAACTCTAACAGACACGACGTCTGTTTGAGGTTCGAAAGACTTTCTCGACCTTGGTGTTGACACACCAAAGGCTACATACATTTACGGCCACCACGACGGGTGGTCCATAGAGACTTAGGATTCCTATTGGCTGAGAGCAGCATCTCTTAGCCAATGAGCGACATGCATAGCATTGGAATTCTGCCAACCAGCCGTTGGCAGATACCTATCTTAGAATATTACATTTAGAGGAAGTCAGAAACATAAAACAAAAATAGCAGTTCTCATCTTTTACCAAAAACCCGCTACTTGGAGTCTTTATGTTGTTTAAAGTATACTCGTGGATCTCGAGTATACTTAACTCAAGTAAAAGAAACCTACGCTTCCTCATACACGTGCGCATACGTGTAAGCCGTAGTAGTGAGCCAAGGTAGGCCCATTACACTTGCACTGCTGCTTTCGAATCGCCCTCGCGCGCTCGGGAATGGACTGACGGTGGTACGTGTTGCTCTTCACTGCAATCTGAGCCCAGAGCTTGGGCAGCATGAAGTAGAACCGGAGTGCCAATGGGTCTTCGTCAACTTCAAGAACGCTGGGTGTTGGGCCGTATGGGCCATCGTAAAGGTTGGCATACGTGGGGTCTGGTCCAAACTTCAATTCATCTGTAAATAGTGCCAAAACATTATGTTAGTAAATATGTTGGATACAAATACACAGCCGCTCACTTATGTTGAGTGAGTCGAACTTACCACATTCCCACCCGATATCTCTCATCGCCGTGATGTACTTGCTGTCCTTCGCGGCAAACGATCACACAGACTCAGGAAGCTCCTCCCGCTCCTCCTCCAGTTCTTTGTCAGTCAGTTGGCCGATATCCCAGTCGCCGTCCCAGCTGCCGTCGTCCTCTGCGTCTTCTTCGTCTTCCGGTTCCTCGCGCACGTCGGGATCTTCGTCCGAGTTGAGGCCTGTACAAGCGGCGGCCCCGTCGTCCATCAAATTGGGGTCACCGTCGACAACGCAATCCAGTGAAACATCAACATGCGCGTCCACACCGGCAGCGTCTGCACTGACATCCGCCTCCTCACTTGAATCCACCTAGAATCAAATAAACAGTAAGCTTATGTTAGCGATATGTTGAATAAAAGACAATATCCAGCACATTATGTTGCCTTCGTCCAGCATAGCGTACCTCTTCATCATTGTCTCCTTCATCATCTGCGCTGTCTTCATCAAGGATCCTGCGTTGGCGCTTCTTCGATTCCGTTGTCGCAATGCGCTTGCGCTTGCCGGAGCTGGATGTCTTCGTGCCTGGCCGAGTGCTGCTCGTCACGGAGTCAGGTGCCGCACGGGGCGTCGCTCCGTCCACCGGTGTCGCCTCCTCCACAATCGTCGCCACAATACTGGCCATTGCGCCCGCAACCTCCGATGCGACTGCTGCTGGTGCGGTGTCGTGAGCGCGTGCGGCGGTCGCGGCCGGCGCTGGCCCGCTCCTCCACATAGCTAGCGTCTGGTCAGGCGCCTTCTTCCGAGTTGGCGCCTTCCGCGTCTTGCCCGTCGTCTTCGGCTCTGCTGGGGCTGCCCCCTCTTCCTCCGCGCCGGGGACTGCCTCCGCAGCTGCCGTCGTCGCCTCCGCCACGGTCTGCTTCGCCTCTGCAGACACGAGGTTCGCCGCCGGAGCTGCATTCGCAGCCGCTGCAGCCATCATCTTCGCCGCCTTCTTCTTCTGCGGGGGTGCTGCCGCCGCAGCTCGTGTCCTCGCCTCCTTCTCTTCCGCGCGGCGTAGTCATCGCTCCAGGCTCTTCTTCTTCTCCACCGGCGTGAGCGTGTGGCGCGGCGTCTTCCCGACGGGGGCGACCATTGTTTGTCTGGCGGTCGTTTTCTCGAATGAGGGGAATCAGTGGCCGTCGGCCACCAATTTGATGGGTGGCATTATCCTTTCTCTTGCACTTTGGAAAAAGCCCGCACCAAAGGCAAACCTAGCCCTGTACATGTGCCCATTTTACACACAGAAAAATATCTTACTTTTTGTATACCAGGATAACGAAAAATGATCCATACAAACTCTAAGTGAAATTTCTGCTTATGTTGAGTGATCCAACATAGCATAAACGCTGCGACAAGAGGGAATTAGGGTATACACCGCTTATGTTGAGCGTTCCAACATAAAGTAACTAAGGGGTTAAAGCAGGCATTAAATTTGAACCCTAAAAATTCGGGAATAATAATTTCAAAATTATTATTAAAAATTTCCTGAAAAATCATAATGTAAATGTCGTTTGTATAGGGGTATTTAATTGGCCATCCATGCTACATACAGTTACCAAGTCATCTGCTGTATCCAATACAACAAAATCATTGCAACCGATTTTCTAATTGTAATTGTTGACCTCAATTTTCTCAATCTGTATTGCAATTGTTATTGACGCAACGCTGCTTTCTGTACCGTATTGTGTTCTCAGCACTCTACGTAAGACCGTTGACTACGTCCAACCGGCCCACGGCTACACGAAAGACGACGAGGGCGACGAAGACTATGTCGAGGAGGAGGTGATTCCGGACGAAGAGGAAGAGATCAGCGTGGAGGAAGTGGAGAAGGACGACGAGGAGGCGAAGGGCACGGAGGTGGACAACGACGACGAGGGTACGGAGAACTCGGAGGTGGACGACGACGAGGAGGGTACGGAAAACTTGGAGGAGGAGGACGGCGAGGAGGCGGAGAACTTGGAGGAGGAGGACGACGAGGACGCGAACGAAGTGGTGGCGAAGGAGACGGAGGAGGAGAGCGTGGAGGAGGAGGAGGAGGTGGAGGACGTGGAGGATGACGAGAAGGCGAAGGCCATGGGGGGCGTGGAGGACGACGAGGAGGCGAAAGGCGAAGAGATGGTGGGCAACAGCGCCATGTCCGCCGTCGAACATGCGGTCGGTCCGAACGAGAAACAAGTGGACGATGATGACTTGTTCGGTGATGATGGCGATGACGACACCACCGCCACGCACGTGAAGGCCAAGTCGGACGGTGGCATGGCTGCTGCCGTCATCGACGATGATGACTTGTTCAGTAGTGAGGACGATGAAGAGACGGTGAACGACGTGGTGGGCGAGGACTCGGAGGTGGAGGACAACGACAAAAGCGCTGGCAGCAAGCGGCAAGTGACGGGTATGTTGTGCTATGTGTTGTTTGCAATGTTGAGCGTTTTTGTTGTACCTCCCAAACGTGGGAAAGGTGGGAGGAAGGAGAAGACGCAGGCTGTTGTCACGTCGGCAAGTGACCAGCCGCCACCACGTCATCATGAGCGCCGCCGCACTAAAACGTGGGAGGAGCGGGAGAAGATAGTCAAGGCGCACAACGCAGTCGACAATTCGAAGCCACCTCTTGCCAAGAAGTCTTTCGCCAATTGGGGCGAGTTGGAGGCAGCGCTCAATGCCTATCAAGATGCGAACTTGGTGCTCTACCGCGTTCGGAGCTCGCAATCGAAAACGAGCCACGACGGGTACGGGTTATGTTGCTGTTACAGTATGGTCCTTCTATTTATATTAATGTTGTTTCTTATGTAGTTAACTGTGTTGTTAAGTCTACCCGGGGTCCAAAAGCTCCCCGATCACTTCACCCACTAGTTCAAGAAGATGTGGTGCACCCAAGGCGCTAAACAATCTTCGCGAGGTGAAGGCCTACGGGAGAGTGGCCAGCGGTACACAGGCTGCGAGGCAAGCTTCACTGTGCGCTCTGTCAAGTATGTTGAGGAAGGTGCGCATCGACCCAGAGACGGAGGTATTGTTCGTATCTATATTTTTTCGAGGGCTTAGATGCTAACTTGTACAACTATGCACCTTGTAGATCTACATGCGCAACCACAGGACCACCAAGACCATCTACAAGTCCTACAAGCGCGGCAATTCCCTGCCACTACCAGCAGCCGTTCGCAAGGATCTCGGTCTCATGGCCGAGGTGCAAACCAGTACGCCGGCGATCAACCGGTACCTCTAGGACAAGCGTGGTGGGTGTTCCTGGTGAACGCTCTACTTCTGGAGTTGTTGATGTGTTGTTTTTTCTAGCTGTTTAATTTGAATGGGTATTAACGTCCTTGTATTTCGATTGATTAATATCTACAGGTATGATCATCACCCTCCAGCAAACGAGAAACATACTGCAACAATTACTAGGGTCTACGACTCTCGAACGGACCCGATTGCTGCTTGATACGTTTGTTCGTGTCGATGATCATGACGTTCTGCTGGTGCAGGATCAGATGGACATCACGTGCGTCATTGCGATGCAAACTGCAGTGCAGAAGGCGTGCTTCAAGCAATGGGGCGACAGTTTAGTCATGGATTGGACGCACGGGACTACAACTTAGGCTACCATCTTGGTTTGTATTATCTCCTATTATTTTCTATGTATAAACTAACTCGCATACTAATGAGATGTTATTGTTTGTCGATCATTTGCTGAACATACAGGAAGTCTTGTAGTGACGTCAGCAACTGGAAGAGGCATTTCTGTGGCTGACTTTCTCGCGCTCGACCAGAAGGACGGGACCATGGAACGCATTTTGGAGTTTTTCAAGCGTCACAATCCGTCACGGACCTCAATTGAGACGTTCTCGATTGATAAGGATTTCGTGGAGTGGCGAGTACTGGAGAGAGTGTTTCCTGACGCCAAGGTTCTTTTGTGTTAATTTCACGCCCTTACGTACTGGAGGAAGGTTTGCAGACGGCCGAAGTACAACCTGACGATGTCTCAACGCGAGCGGATGGGGCATGCATTCGGAAAGCTCATCTACTGGTACGAGGGGATTGAATATTCAATGTTACTTGCCATGTTTTACTCAATGTTGTTCTATGTTATTGTGTTGTTGACTGTGTTGCTCGTTAGGTTGCTCTGTATGTCGTTTACCATCAGCAACACAGAAAGAAGTTTCAATTTAGAGCTGGAATCGTTTACAGAGGTCTGTGAGAAGGAATGTCCAGCCTTGCTGGAATATTTCACGGCAAACTGGAAAGAGTGCGACTCGATGTGGGCTAACTATACCCGGGGAAAGTTCTTCTCTGCTGGCAACACTACAACCAACAGGATTGAATCAAATTGGAACCAAGTGAAGCTGCTTCTCGGCAAACGACCTCGTCTGGATGCGACTATTAGCGGTCTGTTAGCGCACCAGGGGACTATTGTTCGCCAAGTGCTCGCGACGATGAGGAAGCACGTGTCAACATCGCGACACCCAGGTGCAATTCCTGACTTGTTGACACGCGTTTCAGCGCGTCTTAGCGACTACCCGTTGTCTAAAGTGCGCTCTCAATGGGACCGCTTCATGGTGTACCTGGCGGACACTAAGTGCACGAAGCTGGACGCTGTGGGCGAGTGGGAACTCAGTACTCGGAGGAATGCCTACGTATGCAACGACTATGAGTGGACGTGCACATGCCTATTCTATTGTAGTCATCACCTGCCATACCAGCATTAGATGTTCATCGCGGATCGTGTTCATCGGTTCGAGTATCTACCTGAGTCGACTGTCCCGCAGCGCTGGGATATGGTCGCAATGTCCGAGCTGGAGAAAGAGCTTCGAGATGGTGTCGGAGCGCTACAAGCAGTTCAAGCGTCAATGAAAGAAGCTGGAGATTCCTGGGCGCGTGACGGTCTGACCCAATACGACGTCTTCCTGGATGGGTCCGAAGCAACACAAGGTGCAACAGACGCAACACAAAGTGCAACACAGCCACCACCCCAACATGAACATGATGTAGAAGCCGCAGAGAAGATCGGGCGCCGCCGTCGAATGCAACGTGGTGTTATTTATGTCAAGATGCGTCGACGAGAGCGTGCCGACGTTGTGGTTCTCTCATCAGAAGAGAAATATTGCTATGCTAAAGCTGTGTTCGAGCCTGTGATGGAGCACCTAGCAGGATCGGCAACCCCAGCTTTCGTCGCAGCCTTGAAGTCCTGGAAGGACATTGTTCGAAGCGGGTTGGAGACCGTTGAGGCAGATTCTACTACCAGTCCTGACGAAAGCGAGGAATCCGACGATCCCGACACGTCTGACACCGCATCCGACATCACGCCGGCTGATTTAATTGACAGCATGAACTTCGTCCAGGAGTTGGAGCTAGATAAAGCGGGTCCGACAGCACGGCTTCAGCCTCTAAACGAGAGGCTACAGCAGAAAACAATGAAGCAACATTGGCGGCAACATCGAGCAAGACTAGTGGGGCAATGCTAACTAAGTCGGCGTCAATGTCCAAGGCTACCCCTCCGCTTCTACCCAAAGCAACGTCGCCCTCTACGCCGAACCTGTACCCAACCAAAGCGGTGTTATCCTCGAAGAAAAAGTGCTATCCTACCAAAGCTGCCGTACGTGTTAAAACGGCAGCAAAAGTTGCAAGTAAGGGAGGGATCCTGGAGGTGCTACGTATTCCCAAGAAACCTAAGGTGCGCTACACTACCCGAACCAAACTGAAGCAAACCAAGCTGGTCAAGGGGGCGAAACCTCAAAAGCTGGCTGCAATTGTCCTCCCAGACAAGAATGTGCCGTCGCTGTCGCGTGTTTTAGAGTGGGCAAACAACACTATTGACCGCAACCATGTCAGCGGAATCCTGGCAAACTACCCAACCATCATGGACGACGACTTCATGAACTCGCGCGTCGCTCACAGCAAGCGCGATCACGTCTACACTGACAACTACGACTACAACTATGTGATTCCAAAGAATCTCGTCGTCAAGTTGGAAGCCGCGGTCAAAGCGGAGAAGAAGAAGCGATCAAAGTCTAAGTACTTCAACCAAACCGCGGACGACAATCATCCGAAGGGCACTACCGAGGAGATCATCGTCTACTTCCCCGGAGGAACCCCGCAGTTCACCAGGTTTGTAGTCACCAAGTTTCTCATTATGTTGTACTATGCGGTGCTCACAATGTTGCTTGTTATGTTGTTATGCTTTGTGTTGATGTTTGGTACTGCTCAGCGCCGCAGTGTACAGGATGAGCGAGTTTTCCAACGTTGTCCGCAAACTTGATGCGTGGAAGGAGGATGTGCATTGGCTACTGTCGACTAAATGGGACGCAATGACGGACAATCCTGAGCTTTTCGACGTGAAAACGGACTCGGACGAGCTCACAGATGACACCACAGGGGCCAAGCACGTGGCCCTGGCAAACGAAGTGCTGGAGCAGCTTGAAGGAGCTTCTCTGAGCTCCACATTCTGATTGGCAAGCGGCGCAGGCACTGTAAAGCTGGACATATTGGTTGGGATGCTTACTCGCAAGGAGATGCTGTCTGATACGATCATTGATTTCGCTGTCAGATATATCTGTGACGCGCTCGGAGATTGCTACGCGTTGGATACGTATGCAGCTACGTTTTGCTGTCCTGACCCGCCCCAGACCCGCATTTCGAGCATGCATTATGTTGTTTTGCCAGTTTATCTGAGCAACATACACTGGGGTGTCATCATTGTCAGTATCACGCACCAGGCTGAACCACCGTTAATCACACCCTACTTCTACGAGCCGCTGTGTGATCCGCAATATCGAGCGACTATCGAAGATACCTACGAAGAGACGGTAGCGCCATTTCTGCTGGGCTGGCACGAGAAAACAATGATTGGAGTGGATTATCCTGTTGTGGAGAATGGTGTGTGGCTGGATGCGCCTAGACAGCCCGATGGAACGTCGTGCGGCGTTATGGTGATAGCCCAGGTGTATTGCATGCTGAAGGATAACTTCCGATTTACCAAGGCCACAGTTTCAGCCGATGACGTTGCCGTCATGCGACTACGTATTATGTGGATGATACTTATGCAACCTGAAGTGAGTACAATAGCGAACCAAGTAGCCAAGACCGTAGATGCAACCGACCTCGAGTTGATGGCAACCGTAAAGACTTGAATATAGCTCAATTGTGACCTCAAAGCAGTTGTATTTGTTATCGGCTTGATGTTTTCTTTGTGCTCACAACACGCGCGAAATATTGGTCTAGTCTTGCTCGAGTAGAGCCTCGAAACACTGTTGCAGCATTACGCCGTACGACACCACGTAGCCGGTTTCACGCACAGACCGTTGCGAGACGGACAGCTTCCTCCTTCACGTTGGCGAGCATTGTAGCCAGCTCGTCGCGCTCGTTTAAAAGCTTGAACGAGTACTTGGCGATCTTGTCCAGTCTGTCTTCCATAGCCTCAATTGCCTTGAGCCTAGACATCAACAGACCCTTGCAAACCTTCGCCCTGTGAGCTCGCGATAGACGCGTGCCTGCGTCGGTCGTGGGCGGTAGCGGTGAGATCGGCAGAGCATCGCTGTTAAGGTCGCCTGGTTCCATCTTCTTTCACGCTTAGTGTGCACCAACAGCCATTTGATTCTAGATGTCTGCTGTGATATTCTGGAGTGCGCTCGGTAACTTTTGCAGTTTCCGTAATTAATCGCAGATAGATTACCGCAAACCCAGTCTTACATAGCAAGCACCATACCGTGCAGGTTCGGACGGCTCGGACATTCGGACAATATTTAAAACTAAATGCTATTAAATGCTCCGTGAAGTGTGGTGCACATAAAATCTTTTGCAATCCTCTGTCATACAGCGGCTGTTTAGTGGACAACGGCTTGGGGACTGCGGCCGACAGCAGCAGCTGCAGCAGCAGCAAGACGTGCGGGATGTAGGCGCCGTGCGGGACGGCGGGTCGTACTGCGGCTGGTCCTCGCGGGGTGGCGGCCGTCGAGGCCAGCAGCAGCGGGCTGAGGAGGGCGAGGAGGTGGTGGAGGTGGCGGCCAGCACCAGCAAGACGTGCGGGATGTCGGTGCCGTGCGGGACGGCGGGTCGTACTGCGGCTGGTCCTCGGGCGGGGTGGCGGCCGTCGAGGCCAGCAGCAGCAGCAGCAGGCTGAGGAGGACGAGGAGGTGGTGGAGGTGGAGGCCAACAGCGGGGTCGACGACATGAGAGGGATGCCGACGGCGGACAGGTACTGTGACACAAATTATTGCATGTGCCCTGTAAAACGTCGTAAAAAAGTAATTACACTAAAGTAGCTCAATGGAGGAGCTCCCGAAAGGGTGGTTGTGGGTTCGATTCCCACGTTTAGTATCCTATTGCTGGCCCGGGGCACTGGGTTCCTGATGTGTGGTAGAGGCAACAATAACTCAATAATCGTAATTATGTTTGCGCTTATATTCGGCTGTATTATTTAATTGTTTGCACGCGCATAACAGTTATCTACGCTTGCAGGTCTTCGTCGTCGTACAGAAGCTTCGTAAATTACGGGTGTACATGTAAGATTGTCTGCTTTTTGCTACTTACTGACTCACTACTTCTAGTACGTCTTGCGTGTAGCCAGGGGCAGGATCGCGAATTGCGGGAGTCTAGAGCAGACGCTGGTGGTGCTCGATCTTCGCATTGAGATCGCCTGAGCGATGAAGCGCGCGTAAGCGCTGGAGGACAGCGCCGGAGCCACGTGATGTGATGTCACGCTCCGCAAGAAAACGCAAGATGGCTTCTTCCGCGCGCTTGCCCAAGTCCAGGACGCGGTCGAGTCCAGCACGAAGCCGTCCTCCAAGAAGAGCTTCATGAAGGCTACCAGCAGCTTCGCATCGGACTTCTGCTGCTTGGAGACTGCCGCCTGCCACATCCGCGGCTCCTGCGCGTACCACGCGAACCACGTTGCGTGAAGGTGAGTGGCTGACGACCGGCGCTGCTTCTTCTTTGGCTTGCTCACCTCTGTGTTTGTGCTGTCGGGCTTATTTAGCTTGGCTGTAGCTTGTGCAGGATCACCGTGTAGCTTGGCCTCCAGCGCGTCCATGCGTGCGTCTTGGCGTTGCGAGTGCTCGATAAAGTGGTTAATGACAGTGGCTTGGTGTCGAATGATCTTCTGGGCTTCGGTATCTTCTATCGGTTTGCTGGGCTGGGTTGGTGGTTGCTCTGTGGTGCTGGCTTTCTTGTTGCAGTTTGCGGCGCGGACGCTAAGTGAGTCAACCAGGCGAGGAGGCCGGCGATGAAGCTGCCGCTGTGGACAACGCAAGCTTCGATACGCTTGATCGCAGCAGCTTCTGGATTGAGCTCCTTCAGTACCGGGTAGTGTCGAAGCACACAAGCGGTAAGTACATCCAGGACGGGCTGATTGACATTGTACCTTGCCGTCTCCAGGTCTTGACAGGCCGCGAACAGAAGTCGCTGAGCCGCGTCGATCTTCGTCCGTGTCTGAGAGTCGAACGCCTTGAGCTGCTGGATTGATACCTTCGCCTCCGCATCCCGACCGCTGAGTATCTTGCTGATCTTGTGGTCTTGCTCACTCGTATTGAAGATGTAGTTAAATCCCTTGTTGGTTGTCGTCATGTTCGAGGCGCCGCAGTCGAAGATCCAGCGAGCCGTCTAGCTTCCGGAGGCGTTTGCGTGCTGAGCCCCGCCCCGCCGAAACGAGTGCGATGTCAGGGCCGCGACAACGCCGGCAGGTTTGGAAATGCGGTCGAGGACGCGGTTGACGTGGGTGTAGATGGTCGGGGTCGTGTCCAAGCCCGCGGACGTCGGCGCGGCAAGTCCAAGTGTCGTTATCGGGTGGTCCAGCATCTCCAAAAGCGGCACGTCTGGCGACAGTTCTACGGCAACCTGACTTGGCTGCTCGGGGAAGTTGTCGATGACATCGGGTGGCAGTGCTGTCTGCGTGATGATTGCCAGGGCCATGGCCAGCAGCGGGCAGGTGGCGAAATCGGGGTCCGGGAACAGCGAGAGGCCCTGCTCTTCGGAAGTCTTCATGCGTATAAAGCGAACGAAGAGCATCTCACCAGCGTCTATCGACACGTTCTGCTTGCGTAGAAGCGCGAGGTCGGAAGCGCGGCCAAACAGGTACCACAACAGGCAGAGTAAGGCAGCGTCTTGGTAGTCACTTGAGCAACTTGCATTAACATACAAATACACAAGCATTCTTTTCAGATCGCGCTTTGAGCACGGTGGAGCCTTTGTTATAAAGCCACCACCATCTCTCTTCATGCAAAAGTTGTCAAGCGTTTTCCCCATTTTAAGCAACCGTGCCTCAAGTGCAGCACGATGCTGTGGGAACTGTTCGAGTAGCCAAAGTTTAGCTTGCAGGTAGTATTGCATCGAGGTGTTTCGAGCCAACGGTTTGCCTTTTTTGCCCTCGGTAAATGCAAGATACATACCAAACTTATCCATTACGGATACGAAACATTTACCACTATCGTCAATATTCATCACTTACATCCTCAGACTTCAGAAACTTCTGAAACGTGGGTACGGCAGTTGCCTTTGCTCGTTTGGTGTTACCAGGCTCTAGTTCCTCTAACCCCATGCCTCTTGTCGGAAAGAAGCAAAATATGCAAGTGATACGTTGTTGACTTATAGTTTGAATGGCGATACACATATTTTTCAGAGTGCTCCGACCCGATACGTCGGAACTGCTGGCTTACAGGACTCCCCTACCCCTATCAATTTCTATTGGCTCTTGTGGCTGGTACATCTACAACGATTGGACAATTATTCTCAAACTACATGTGATAGGCTGTAAGTACATACAAACGTGTAGTACAGTCGGATAACCAGCCATATTCAACCATTTCTTCCAGCTGAACGCCTTCGAAAGGATGTTTCGGCGGCGATGAAGCTGTCGTCCTTTACTCGCAAGAAGCTGTCACAAGAACGAGATGGGACTGCGGAGGACGAGCTCGTCGTGGTGCTGACGCGATGGTTCCAAGTGCAGCTGCATCACTCGGAGCTTCAATTCCTACCGCACGTCCTGCAAGAAACTCAACGCCGCGTCGCCCTTCACGGATCGCATGGTCCACAGCATGAATCAGTCGCTATACGGCGCTCCGTGAGCGAGAGAAGGCTTCAACTTCAAAACTGCATGCACGTTCGCGTGGTTATCCTCCCAAACGTCTAAAATATTTCTACACGATAGTTTTCATATGCTCGGGAAGGAAACATGCCTTTTACAGGGACTCGAAAATGACACGGTGCATGCTGCGGACCATGGTATCCGAGAAGCAGGCGAGCCCCTGGCGGATTTCCTGTAGAACGTGAGGCGGAATGTCCATCTCTGTGTGGTGAAGCTTCACGCGGAAGAAGCGCGTGAGCACCACCACTCGCTCGAACTCGTCGTCCTCCGCTTCCTCCTCCTCCTCAGGGTCTTGCTGGTATGGGAAGCCTCCGTTACCGTACAGAGGGTGTCTGGTGCGTGTCTTTCTCTTCCGGTTCGGCGGCTTCTTGCAGAAATGCTCCGTGAACTTCATCGCCGCATTGATATCCATGCGAATGCGTTCATCCGGGACGTAAGGGTACATGTCGTCCAGATCCACCGAGTCGGTCGACACGAGCGCGTAGGACGCGCTCCCCTCGTTGTCATCATCCACATCAGGCTCGACCAGCTGGAAAAACTTGACGATGTTCTTCTCCACTTTGACGCCGTGGGCCATCGTGCTCACCAGCCGATGGTTCGAGAACGAGTTGCTTGCCGTGCTGTCGTCGTCCTCCCTCACTGTGATATCCCCGAGCATCTCGGAGATGCTGATCTCCATATTCCTAAAGAAAAACTGCAGCGCCTCGAACACCTGGCGCACGGATCTCGCGCCATGGAACGGCGTGTTGTCCATTTTCTCGGCGTAAAAGTGTCCTTCCTCCGACTCAAACTTGTTCTCCTGGCACCAGTGCGAGATCTGCGGGAGGAACTTGGACCTCTCGGTGATAAAGTCGTCCGCCTGCTTGAGCTTCATCTCGCGGATGTCCACGAGCGCCGCTCTGCGCTGCTTCAGGTCCCCTGTGAGGTGGATGAACGTCTCGATGGGGCTCTCGGACCGCTTCATCAGGTACTCGGCCGACAAGATGGCGTGGGCGTTCCTCAGCAGCATGTCCTGCTTCCTGGACTCGGCCCGGAGTCTGTCGTTGTCTTGGGCCTTGGCGATCAGCCGCTCCTTCTCCATGAAGAACGCGTCGGGGATGCCGCTGGCTCTGCGCAGCTGGAGCACCTGCTGCTTGAGTTGCACGAGCTCGGCCTCCAGCATTGCCTTCTTCTCCTTGCGCACAATATACGTGGGCTTCTTGTCCCTCCTCTTCCTCTTGGGCTGGTCCCCGTCCTGCATGTCCTCCTCCCTCACGGGCTTGGCGGGCCTGCCGGGCCTCTTCTTCTTGATGATAGGACTGGAGTTGAGCTCCTGCAGCTCCTGCAGCTCCTGCCGCTTCCTCCCGCGTCCCAGGGGCGGCGTCTGGTCCTCGGACGTGCTGCCGGACTCCTCCCGGCCTCTCGGACCTCCTTCATAGCTGCCGCGGGGCCGCGCGGACTGGATGAGCGACAGCAGGTTGTCCGCGGCGGCCGCCCTGTCCTGATTCGCTCTGGGAGGCGGCGGCTGATGAAGCGGCGCAGGACGCAGCACGTCGTCCTGGGGGAAGGCGGGGCGCAGGAAAGACGGACCTGGCGCCGGCGCGAAGGGCGGCGGGCGACGCTGCGAGCTGCCGCCACCGAAGGCGCGGCGCTCGTAGAGAACCATGCTGGGGCACGACCGGTGGCTGCTTCTTGAGCAGCGATGAGATTGGGGATAATTCCGCATTAGGTGACCTATACTACTGAGAAGAGGTTTGTTATAATGGACAGACTACTAATTATCTAGTTGCGGAATTGACAAATGGGTTACGAAACGTGTGCCCATAATCGGCCCACCGGCTCTATTATTTTTACCGCGCGCATGTCCATGGCGTTCGTCTACCGGTACATACCGTGGCTGACGACCTCGGAGAACTTTTAACTCGAGTCTCATGGACGCTCGCCGCAATGCTGGCACACTTGAGGTCTCTTCGTCATGCCATGAGACTCTCGTACCGGTAGATGATTGAGCCAAACTCGTGTTGACGGGACGCTGATGCATTCCCGTCAATAGCACTGCAATCTGCGGAGGTTGCATCCAGAATCTTGGGGCTGTGATACCAGTACAAATACAGAACTCTGCCTGAATACCGAACGCCTGATATATATAAGGGCTCCAGGTTTATAAAGTGATCTCAGCGTTACCAGAGAAACGGCTGTACTGAATTAGTTTATCTTAGACGGGATTTGACGCTTGCTTAGTTAATCAAACCCGAGTAAAACAGTGCTGAGTTGTTTCAGCGCTGACCTTCGACCAAGCGTGTTCACACCACATCAGTGCGGTTAGTAGCTCTACTTTGTACTACTCCTAGAGGGCTTAGCGGGTAGTCCACAAATGTGAAAGTGGAATCGTAAATACAGAGAAGATCGCACAGACAATCAATAGGGCGCGAATTTTCAAACTGCACAGCTTAGTACTTTTAGCCAAACAAAGGTATCCTGGATTTTTACATCAGTACCTTTGCCCATCTCCGTTCGTCCTGTTGTTGGACCTTGAGGTATTATTTATATGAGGTTATGTATTGTATACCCGTTCGGTATTGAGGCAGATTTCTGTACCCCCTGCGTCCGTCTCAGCGAGAGCGTGCGCTGCATCCCGCGCACGAGCTCCTTGCCCCAGCGGCCGATTTCGTGCCGAGTCTCCTCCAGGCAGTCGTAGGACACTTGCAGCCTCGAGTGGTGCAGCTTGATGAGCGACCAGAGCGTGACCTTGACCACCAGTTCGTTGTCTTCGCCAACTCTCCCATGGTGCTGCTCAGGCATCCCGAAAAATAATATTACCCGAAAATATAACAGTATTTTCGGATACAATACTTTATTTAGGGCATCGCCGTTTGTTTTATCCGAAATTTATGTAGCCGAGTTCTAAAATTCGGTATTTTACTTCTGCTCATCCTGCTCCAACCATTAGTTGTGGTCAAACATCGCGCTCTACCAGCGTAACTTTGCCGTTAGCCCTCACTTTCAAACAAGCACCACCCAGCACGCGCATCACGACTCGACGTTAGCACCATGACCGACAATCTCCTCGCTGGCCCCGCTCCGAGGCCTACCTTCTCGCCCAGACAGATTGCTGCCTTCTACTTCAAGCCCTGCCTGGACGAGGAGGGAGAGACGACGGGCTACTATGCCTGCAAGACCTGCGCTAAGCGCCGCAAGCACGCGCCCAAGTCAGGCTACAGCAACTTGGTGTCGCACGTGCGGGCGGCGCACCCCAACTACGAGAGCGACATGCGCGACGCAAGTGTCGCTGCGACGGGAACCCTACTGCCGTGGGTCACCCAGAAGGCCTCGAACCGCTACGCGTGGCTGCGCTGGGTCGTCACGGGCAATCTACCGCTGTCTTTTTGCGAGTCCAAGGAAACGCGACAGTACGTATTTTCATATCTATTTTGGTGATATACATGTGTGCTAATGCCGTATGTATGTAGATACACGAAGCTAAATCCCATCTCCGTGGAGACGCTGACCGCCATCATGGAGGCCGTGACCAAAGCCGTGGAGACGATGATCGGCGACGCCATGCCCGAGCGTTTTGGTCTGGTCCTTGATGGGTGGACCCACGGCACGGAGCACTACATGGCAGTGTATGGCTGCTTTGATACGGCGACAGGCCCCCAGTACCCGCTGCTGTCGTTAGCGCCCGTCATGGATGAACCTGACGACCAGCTAAGCGCTGACGGCCATCTGACGGCGATTAAAAGGTTCCTACCCTTTTTTGGTAAGTCTGTCTCCGGATGTCTATTCCTGGTTGGTGACAACTGCGGAGTAAACAAGCGGCTGGCGAACCTACTCGGTGTGCCGCTAATCGGCTGTGCCAGCCACCGCCTGAACTTGGCGGTGCGAGACTACTTGGAGCCCCACGACAGCATCCTCGAAGAGGTCCAGCAGCTTATGCGTAAGTTGCGGACTTTAAAGCAAGCAGCCAAGTTGCGGTAAGTACTCTCTTTGCTGTTTTATTTTGTTTTTGTATTGGTACTAAATTGGTCTTTGTTTTTGGGTTTTGTTCGAAATTAGTGCCAAGACCCCATTGGCTGCTGTCCTCAGACAAGACACGCGCTGGTCGTCGACCTTTTCAATGCTCAGCGCTATTTTCGGCTCCGTCCGTTCATTTCGGCGGACGACGAGGAGCTCGCGGACTTCCTTCCGTCACGCTCAGTCCACCGCAAGCTGGAGACTTTGCTGGCAAGCCTCCGGGATGTCGAGTCCGTGTCCAAGCACCTGCAGGGCGACGGCCTTACGCTGCTGGGCGCTCGTGTCCCTTCGACGAGCTCCTCAAGAGCCACCCCTCGTTCGCGAAGTATCTCGGTAAGGATCATCGCTCACTCTGCGTCTGATGGTATTTCTACTTAACTACTGCGTTTTATATGTTTTTATTTATGCATAGCTACCGACACGGATATAGTCCACTCCGCCGTCTTCATGCAGGCGGTCGTCAAGGTGCTGGACGACCAGGCGGCCCTGCTGACGGACGACGAAGTCGCTGCGCTAGAGCCGTTCAAGCGCACGCAGGCTCATGTGGAAGGCGTGGACTGCACGCCGGCGGACAAGTAAGGGTTCGCTGTGCGTGCGCTCAAGCGACGCAAGGTAGCTGCTGCGCCGGCCACGTACGAGCTGCTTAATGACGTTTTGGAGAATATAACGATCCGAGAGGACGACGACAACGGGGACGACAATGTCACGCAGCTGAGACTGGTTACCTCGACGGGGTCAGCACCCGAGGCGCCGCCGCTGGAGACCAACTCGCTGCAGCTCAACGAGTTCCACGAGGCGACGAGCTCCGGCGGCCCGCACGGCGCTGCGACCAGCGAGTTCTGCATCATCATGGCGGACTTCGTGGATGAGGACGAGCTGTACCCGTACAATTCGCAGGAGCCGATGCGCAAGGACGTAACAGCGGCGCTGCTGCTCACGCGTCTGCCGAGGGAGAGGCGGTGGCGCTCATGGCGCAGCACAGCGCGCGCAATACTGAAGAGTCTCTCAACCATGTTTGAGGTAGGAGGAATTGAGGACATGATCATCTCAACATTCGCAATCTGAACGAGTGCAGCGTCGAACACAGCTCGAACACTGACGGCACCTCGGAAATGCGATACAGCGAACCTCAGCGCGCAGTAGGCGCCTCTGGACGTCTCGAACCGCTCTTCTTCACAGTATTGTCGTCCCGGCTCGAGCCCGCGACTTCGGCGTAGTAGGAACTCGTGCGTCAGCTGCCGTTTGTCGTGTTTCATGGCCACCAGCTCGCGATGCCGCTTTTTGCGGTCCAGCCCGAGCTTTATAAACGTATTAATGGGGCTGATGTCGTGTTGCTGCTGCACGTAGCCTGACATCAATCCCTGTACGTCGGCCAGCGTCGACTGTCGGGATTGCACGGCGTCGCGTAGAATCACGTTCATCACGGGCGCCTGCGTGTGCTTCTTGACGTGCAGCGCATTCGACACGATCGCCTGCGACTTGAAACTCTCCAGTTGGCCCTGTAACTGCTCGATTTGTGCCAACAGCTCCATCTTCTGCTCCTTGCGCAGCATATGAGTAGGTTTGCGCTCCTTGCGCTGCGGCTTGGCAGCGTCTTTGGGCTCCGCTGTGCGCTTGCCGTTGCGTTGCGCCCGTGGTCTCTTCGCCGTTGGTTTCGCGTCGTCACTGCTGCTTTCGTCGCCGCTGGTGCTCGTGGCGCTATGGAGCTATCTGGCGTCCGCCGTGACTTGCATCGCTTGCGGATACGCTGCTGTTGCCTGTGGAGTCATTATTCTGGTCTCGGGCGGTCCCCACACTACTGCGGTGGGATTGTTCATCGCCGTGACGTCGAAGTTGCTGCCCGGCAGAGGCCGTCGACGAGGCAAAGCCGTCAAGCTGTAGCTGGTTTCGCGCGATGGGAAGCCGCGGGCGTCGCGTGTCATGCCGTAGGGTGAACGCATCTTGCTTACTGCCGCCGAAGTGAGGAAGTGAAGCGAAGCGAGGAGCGCACTTAGCCGTGTGACGCGCTGAACGCTGCGACGAACTTGGACTTGAGACCGAAAGTCGTGCATGGAAGGGGCGGCGCTTGCCAGCATCAATCAAGGCTGCAGGAAGCTCGAGGGGCTCTCGACGATAGCCCTTCTGCATCGTGAGCCCGAGACTGTAGACCTATGTCTACCTGTAGGCCTGTGCGCATTGGAGGTATCCTCACCGAAATGAAATTCAAACCGCTAGTTCTCGTGTATTAGGCAAGAAGTGACCATTACCTTGAACTTACAGTACCGGCGCGTCTACATGAACCAGTAAACCAAGCATTTTTGTCGAGCAACGTCCGACTTTCGTGGTCATCACGATACCGGTATATGTCCGCATAGGACTTCATTGATCACCACCAAGCTTGAGCATCATGGGCCACTCGACTATTGTGCGGTGGTATCGGGACCCGATACGGGTCGACACGGTCGAAGCTGCATCCCCGATGCTTCACAGTGACAAAACAGTTGGTGAGCAGTCTCGCCAGTAGAACGCAAGCCCATTGAAGGCCCAGCCGCTGGTGCGCAGCGTGTCCCATTCAGCTTGCGATTCCGGGTCCCGCCCGCCTCGAGCTTGTCGCCCGCCATCTCCTGTCGAGTCCGTTCGACCGGCACCGCTGTACGGCATTCGAGAATCGACTACAAGTACATCTATGCGGGTGGACACCAGTGGTGCCACCACCGCCACGCCCCAGGCCCTCACCACTGGCTAGCCAGCCTTTATCAGCTCCACATGATCGCCGCATCTCTTCTTCATCAGCAACTCTTGTCCGCGTAATCGCGTTTTACTCTGAGAGCGGCCATCCTCCTCAATCACAATTTTATACTTCATAAAGGGGTGCTAATTAGTAAAACCCACCTATTTTGTTCCTCTGCAATCCCCCAAGCTACCATCCGCGTCCAACACACATCACCGTCGTCATCATTCGCCTTTTACCCACCACTTGGCTCTACCTCGCTGATGCGAGTTTAAGCGACTCACTGCGCTGCGCTCCGCCACCAGAATACTCTGCCTATATATAATACGAGCGCGCGAATGGATCCGCTCACAAGCTCCTTCATCGTGCAGCAACCGCTTGCCAAACACCAGCAGCATCAACTCCAGCAGCAGCCACAGGACGCGCTCATGGTCGTGGACAACCGCCAGCTGCAGGTCTGGAGCGGCTTCAACGGTTGGCCACAACCGCTGCAGGACCCTCACCACCACGGCGCTGCAGCCACGTTGATGGGGCTCACAGCGGGCAATGGTGCACTTGCAGAGGAGGCACCATCAGCGACCCATTCGCCCGCGTCTTCGGCTTCGACCTCGACACCGCCACCTCACAAACAGGACGAGCCTCAGAAGCAGAAGAAGAAGCGCGTCTTTAAGAAGCGCAAGGCGACGCACACGATCCGGAAGGAGCAGAAGGCGGCGCTGGAGCAGGAGATCGCGGAGCTTCAGGCGCGACTCGAGGAGATCAAGTTCCAGGCGCTCGTGCAGCAGGGCAAAGCGGCCAAGTCCTACCATGACAGAGCCGTGGAGAACGCGGTGCTGAGGGAGTCGATCCAGGAGTCGCATCTCGTCATGGCGCAAGTGCGCGCGCTGCTGTCGGGCCACACGCAGCACCACCTGAGCGGCGTGCGGCCGATGGAGACCAAGATCTGTCTGAGCGCCGACAGAGCGGAACGGAGAGCAGTGCTGCATGCGCTGCGTGGAGCGAAACTGCGTGAGGCCAAGCGCTTCTTGAACGCTCGGAGCAGTGAGGTGAACCCGAACACACCATACTTCCAAGAAGAGAGGTACGAGACGGCGGACGGGGACTTTTGCGTCGCTCGCTTCGAGATCACGCCGCTGCGGGGCGTGAGAGGAGGCGTCCGCGCAGTGTTTGATGCCGTGTTGCAGGCGGCGTTCAATGCCGAGATCATCATATCGGAGACGTCGGGCAACATCACCGTGCGTGAGGACGACGACCTCAACGACGACGACAGTGTCTCCCAGATGCGACTGGTGTCTCGGACGAACGGAGGAATGCTGCTGGAGAACAACCTTGTACATTTCACCGAGTATTCGCGCGGAGAGGAGAAGGAGCACGCCGTCACGACGACGGACTTTGTCGACGAAGACGCTCTGTATCCCTACAGACCGCTCGAGCGAGTTCGTCGGGATCTTACTGCTGCTATGCTATTGACGTCGTATGAGAGCGAGGGTGATCCCGCAGTGCTGATCACGCGCTGGTCTTGTGCTAGAATCTGCCACACAGACCTCAACATCTCTCGCGAGGCGCTGCTGGATCTGCGGGAGAGCTCCATTCGGTCCCAAGGCATCTTCCTCAACTGCGTGCGGGAGACACTTGGGCTCCCAGTGAGTGCAACCTAGAGCAAGATGTTGTCCCTGTCATTGCATTCTCCGCGTGGCATGTTGCACTTTCATACGTGCCGCGCAATCCGATTTCGTGATTACAGGCACAAAAGATCACTCAGTAACTTTACTAAACATTGCACCACGTATAGTTTTCCAGAAACGATATCGTCATTTTCTGGTAAGTATCCAATACACCTGTATATTTGGATATCCGCTAAATTTGAATCGTCCCACTTTTCTGAAACAGTAAAATTATCGATTACATTACTTCTCATACACAAATCGTCATTCGCAGTTCATCACTGTCGGGCTCAGGTGGCACCACGCACTCGTCCATCTTGACCCCACCTAGCTGATCGGATACCCAACACCAGCATGAATATACCTCTGTTCACCCCACGAGGGAACTCCAGCATCCTCGACCCTATGAACGCAGTGCAGTCCACCATGACCATCCACGGCAGTCAACCGATTTCGTCCCGAACACGCTCCGGCGACCTGCAGACTCATGCAGCCTCGGTTATCAGGGCACCATCCAGTACCAAGCCCGACCAGAGCGAAGACAGCGACGCGCCGGGGCCGGTGAAGAAGAAACGCGTGTACAAGAAACGCAAGGCCACGCACACGGTGCGCAAGGAGGAGAAGCGGGCGCTGGAGGTGCAGATCCAAGCTCTGCAGGCCAAGCTCGAGGCGTTGAAGCTGCAGGCCCTCGTGCAGCGCGGTGACGAAGACGCCACGCTCAACAGGAAGATGGCGCACAATGCGGCGCTGCGAGACGCGGTGCAAGGTCAGTATTTGATGCTGACGCACACGAAAGGGATGATGCTGGGCTGCGCGCTGCGGCACTCGTACCAGGTGCGTCCGACGGAGATGTTCATCCGTCTGACGGCAGATCGGGACGAGAGACACCAGACACTGAAGGCGCTGAGAGAGCCCAAGTTGTACTACGCACGGAGGTTTATAATGGAGCGGAGCCGGGGGATGCACCCCACGACCGAGTATTTCCATGAAGAGAGGTACGAGACTCCGGAAGGAGATTTCTGCAACGTACGCTTTGATAGAGTACCGCTGCGAGGTGTGAGAGGGGGGATTCGTACGGTTCTGGATGCGCTGAAGAACGCTGCGTTCAACGCGGAGATCATCATTTCGGAGACATCGGGAAACCTTACTATCCGTGAAGACGACGATCTTACCGAAGAAGATTTCTCTCAGCTACGGTTAGTGACCCAGACGAGTCGTGGCATCCTTGTGGAGAACAATTTGGTCCATTTTGCGGATTTCTCGCGTACTGATGGAGAAGACAGCTACGCGGTAACAGCGGCAGACTTTGTGGACGAAGACGAAAGATTCCCGTACCGCCCTCATGAGCGCGTCAGGCGTGACGCTACTGCCGCGATTTTAGTGATGTCTCATGCAGATACGAAGACGAACAAGGCGGTTGACATGGATGGGTATAGTGATCATACGGCTTCTGAGGAGGAGGGAGAACCCGTGGTTGTGATCACACGCTGGGCGTTCACAAGGATATGCCGCACCGAGCTGAACGTTCCGATCGAAGTACTCCGTGAAATGCGCGACTTATCGGGTCGAGTGTCGGAGACGATACTGAATTGCGTACGCGAGACCGTGGGGCTGGCAAAATAGGAGACTAAGTAGTTTTGAGTTGCATCGTGCTGAGAAAATATTGACTAGAAGCGCAAGTTTACCCCAACTTTTTTTTTCTCTTTCTTTTTTTTCACTCGAACGATGGCAATGTTGCGAGTGTGTGGTGGAGACGACACCAACCAACGCTCTACAGTACATGGTGATGAAAAAAGTAATTTTGTTCAAGCCAGCAGCCAGGCAAATCTTTGAGCCCTTCTGCGAGCACCCCTCGCCCGCCTCATCCGGCGATTACGCTGAACCTTAGTCACTCTCGTTTGTGCGGCCCAGAACGCATCGCATTTTGCTGTCGTCGTCTACCAGCGACTAACTCGTACCGTAGTGAGGTTTCCGCGTCACGATGAGTTCCTCGTTTTGCACTTCAGCCCAAAGCGCCGCCCTCACCTCGCTGCTAGGTGAAGGTTGGGCACTCCCTAACGACACAGAAGACCAATCGACGATTTCGTGGGAACCTTTGGATGAATTCCAAGCGCTTGTTGACGCGGTGAGAGCGAGTGGGTCGGATGCGGTACGAATCGAGGAAGATCCCTTTGACGCTGCACTGCACGCATTACCAGCGAAGAAGAAACGAAAGTGCACCAACACTGTGAGGAAGGAGGAGAAAACAGCGCTAGAAGCGGAGATCAGAGCCTTGGAGGCCCAACTGGACGCACTTCGGTTCACGGAAATGGTCCAGCGCGGCGAAGTTGATCCCTCGTTCCACTCCAAGAAAGCTCAAAACTCGCTGTTGTGGAGTATCATTCAGGACCATCACTTGGTCTTTCTTTACTCTGCAATTCCCCCAAGAGGATTTGCCTTCACCACCCACCGACCACCCGTTAGCTGTGTGCACTAGCACCTGAGCGGTGGGCTCGACCCTCCTTCTGTGTGTGACTCGACCGGCGCCTCCACCTGGTGGACCGCGTCAGCGCCGCCCCCCGGACCCAGGGGACGGGGTAAGGCACGAGCCGACTCCTCTGCGATTGAGAAGTCGCCGGAATCGGAACCAGGGCGCACAGCGGGACCGCCTGTGACGACACCATCGGACGCGCTCGTACGTCTTCGGGAGCCAGCCTTCCGGTGCCTCTCCCCAAGACTAGCGCTGCGCCTCGAACGTACGCAGCCGCGCTTACGTCTTCGGCAATTGCGGCCGAGCGTTCCAGTGAGGGGCTGCCAACCATTCGCCAGCTCAAGCCGGACCTACCGCCCGCTGTGCTCGCGAAGCTCGCCACTACGCTAGAGAAAGACTGGACGACCCCAAGACCGCCTCAGCTATCGGAGGAGTTAAAGAGCCTTCAGGCGGCGGCACTGAAGGCGTCGCGTGTGCACTCTGACTCTATGCTGAGGGAGCGGACGCCCGTGGAGACGCAGGCGTTAATGGCCTATTTCCGGGGCGATCTAGACCTCAGACACCCTCCATTGTTTCTGAAGGCGACAATGCCCGTCCTCCAGCGAGCCATGGTTGAACAATTTCATGAGACTCACGTGGAGGCTACGTTGACAGCGGATATTCCCCCACATGTGCCTCTGCGCAAGGGCATGCCCCACCTGGCGCTCTTCGAGGAGTTATTCAACTCAAACAAAAACGTAAGGCATGGCAAAGAGATGATCGATCGCATGCTGAAGGATGTCAAAATGCTGTTTTTTGACGGCAACCATACGCTGAAGTTCGTATTCCACTCGCGCCGGACGGCCGAGTTCTACAACGGGGTTTCGCTGCGTCTACAACGGGTAGTCATCGACCTGGAGGACTCCAGCGGGCTGGAAGATGGGGTGTATAACTCGGCTCAGCTCCGACGTTTTTATTCGATTAGGATTCTAAACGCGGCGGCGGAACTTGGCATTGCCACGATGGTAAGTGCATTCTCCCAGCTAGCGGGTGTCCCAGTGCTTGACGCAGAACGGTCGCGCGCGGACGCTACAACGGTGATTGATAACCGCTACTTCGTAGTCCGTTTCGCCCAAGAGCAGTGTCCAGCCGCATTGCAAGGAGTGACGCAAGTTACTATCGGAGCAACGCAGGTAGTACTTCACCACTTCCTGGTTCAACAACGGCTCCCGTGTGGCCGCTGCTACAGCCCCAAGCATACAACCGGGTACTGTCGCGTCAAAGCGGAACATCTCATGGATGCTAGGGATCGTGGATACAGGATCTTCCAGGGACATGTGGCCCCATTCCAGGTAGGGGCGGCGCGACCTTATTGCCACACGGATGAAGACAGTTTCAACACGTTTTGGGCGACGATGGCGAAGGAGATGGAGCTGACAGCGGCAACGTTACAGCGCAATACCCAGCCAGACGCTGTCGCACCCGAGAAAGGGACCAAACCCAGTCCACAACGGGAAACCCGCAGGGCAGGCACCACCGCAGTGCAGACCCAAGCGATGACTGAAACCAGGACGGACGGGGACTTCATCATTGTGCGACGGAAGGGATCCAAGAAGAAGTCACCAGCGGAGGAGGAGCTGACCTCACCAGCCGTTTCGGTCGATAACAAGAAGGGAGCGACACCCGAGCGAAGCGGCCATACCCCCGCAGCGCATCTTGGTCCCCAAGCCCGCCAAGAAAAAAACCGCGTCTTCACCGGGAGGACAAGGACACCAAACGTCCTTCAAACTTTTCCAGCAAGCCCGAGAATACGGCCAATATCAGGCGCTGATGGACGATGACAGCAAGTCCGAGTCGGATGTTGCCTCGGTCGCCAATGGTGACACTGGAGACGAAGATCAGGACATGGGACCAGACGACGCTGGTTATGCGTTCCCGGACGAGGAGGTCCTTACGGACCAGGATGTGGTGATGGTCGCGGAGGAAGGCGAGGAGCATGCTTTGACCGAAAAGACGACTCCACCGGACACGTCTGCAGCCGAGCAACAGCGGAGTGCACAGCGCGCCAGTCGCCGCCAGCGAGCCGTGGCAGATGCAGTAGAACGCACGGAGTACGTTGAGCTGGCTGCCTCACGTATCTCCTCGGTAAGGTCTTCTTCAGAGGCTCAAAGGGTTTCTCCAGCTCCTGCTCAGACGGCCTCCCCAGTATCGAGCTATCTTGGTTCATCGGCCCCATCCCAAAGTCCACCTCCTGCGCCTACACCAGGCTCGGAGGCTCCTTACTCTATCGTATCCAGCGCATCGGATTTGCCTTCGGACGAGCTTGCTCAGCGGGTGCCTGGGGGAAAGGAAAGCCAAGCGTCCGATGCGAGCCAGGCGTCGGACACCAGTGTTGTCTACGAGAAAACCGTTCCCCCCCCCGCACAAACCCAACACAGGTCAATTACTGGCTGTCCTGGTTTCAAGGCAGGGAGGTCAACGTTCCTGCTAACGGGCAGTGTGCGATTCTTGCTCTATACGCGACGGTATCGAACCAAGAGCATGGCAGTTTACCACTTACCCCGGAAGTAATTGCTGACGCCAACTTTCACAAGCGGGCGATCTATGCGCTGATGGTGGAAAACTTGCAGGCTGACTGCAAGTTGGGGATCCTGGACCCTTTTACGGAACTCGACCGCCTGAACCCGGGCTGCGAGCACCCCAAGACTAAGGAAGCGGCGATCGCGATTGTGTGCACCTATCTTCTTCATGAACGTCTCCGGTCGGTCGATACCCGAGTTCCCAGCACGAACTGGGTCAACCCTCATGTGCTGAGGACCTATGCTCAGTACCTCCGACAGCCATTGATGGTCATGGACGTCGATGTCCACGGTGACGGACATGTACAAATCTACACTTACCAGGAATATGAATTGGAGACACCGGGCAGCTCTGAACCTCTGATCCACGAGACAGGGAGCTACACGGCGCTGGAAGATCACGACGCTACGGCATATCTGCGCATGTGTCGGAGGCTTCATGTCCTCCCCATGATCTTGCTGCTCCGGACGCACGAAAGTCATTTCTATGGAGTTCATCATGGAGAGCTCTTCCTGAAATGGCAAGCGGAAGGCGATCCCAGCTTTGCGGCCGAGGTCGCGCATCCATTTGAGTGGCGTGACGGCGTCCTCACCAGGCCTGCTGACGTGGTGGTGAGGAACATTGGGGAGAAAAGCCGGACGCAGGTCGGGTTTGAAGTGCAAGTCGGAGGGATCCCGCTAGATTTGCTCAACGATACCGAAGATACCAATGCTCACCTTCAACGCAGCCTCACTATGCGGCAGCGCTTGGATGTCGTCCATCTCCGCATGTGTTGGCCGATTTTGGATGACTGCGAGTATCAGGTGGACGAGATGGAAGTCTTGATGCATGAAGCGGAACGCAGGATTTTCGCCGCTGCGGGCATGGACGACTACGCAATCGGCAAGAGGATTCCCGGGATGGCCGTCGGTGCTGAGATGCCTCCACGGCAGCGTTCTCAACCGAGAGGTCAGATCCACGCAGGCGTCTATCAGGCCTTGCTAAACGCACAAAGTCCTGACGAACTGACCCCAGCGCTGCGGATAAAGCTCCAGACTGCCCACCATGACAACACGACGGCTATTAGTAGGTGGTACTCCGAGGTGTATGAGAGATTTTCACTTCCTGCGCCAGGTCAGGAGGTCCCGTCGATGGAGCACTTCATGCTGCACCACGGTGACAATGTCGAGGCGCTTCGAGACCTGTTCGCGTTTGTACCTTTCCCGGAGTTGGCGGCCAAGTCGGTTCCGCAGGGCCGGCTCGAAGCTTACCGAACGCAGATGGAAGCTCTGGGAAGGCTGAGCCAAGATGAAGATCGCCCGGCTGACCTCCGCAAGCTGAGCCAACAGTGGCTAGAAAATGCAAATGGGCCTGACCTCGGGAACAATTTTAAGATGGCCGCGGCTGATAGTGGGTGGGCATCCCTCAGTAAATGGCTGGCGGATAAATACCTTCGGGGACAACCGCGGTCGATGCCGGACTCGATATGGACCACCCTACACGTGTTCCCACACGTTGTGCGGCAGTGGGGAGCTACGCCAATGGGGAGAGCGCCTCTCGGTTCCTTAGCGCACTGGTACGCAGTGGATCCTCTGGTGGAGCAATGTTGTATGGG